GGCGCAGGCCGTGAGGCCCGAACAGCGAGAAATCTGCGTAAGGTGCAGCTCCCGCGGCCACCACCTGGCGCAGCGACGCCACTTGATCCGAGGAGGGATCGGCATCCGGGCTGGGGTAATCGCCGAACTTGGCCTTGTAGTCCTTGTAGAGTTGTTGCAGCTCGGCGGCGCCCAGCGGCGAGACCTCGGCGTCCAAGGTGGGATCGAGGATGGACGACAACTTCAGCCTCCTCGCTCCTGTCGCCGGTGTGCTCCCCGTGGGTGCTGGCCCTGTTGTCGGAGCTGGTGCTGGCGGGCTTGTTCCCCCTGGGACGTCTGGGGGGATGCCCATGCGCAGCAAAGCCACTCGGCGGCTCGACTCGACCCGGGCTCTTTCTACCAAGGTCAAGTCCCGGGGCGGGCCTGGATTGCCGTCGGCGTCGGCTGGTCCAGCCACTCGCAAGGTGCTCACCATGGTGTCCCAGGCAGCTCTAGGGACGAGGGCTAGCTCTCGCACGCGAGCTGGGTCGCCCAATGCCGCCCGCAGTGCCCGCTCCAAGGCCCCTGTCACTCCTGCCCACGTGAACACTCCCGGTAGGTCTGCTATCGCCGCCAGCTCCGCGTCGGTCGGGTCCATTTTGAAGAGCGGGGCCTTCGTGAAGTATGGGCCCAGGCGTCGAGGCCCTCCGTGCAGCCCTCCTCCGGAGATTCGGGCGGGACTCGGTGGTGTTGCGGAGGCTGTAGTTCCCGAGGTTGGCAAAGGCCAGGGAGAGCCGCCTCCGGCTCCGAACGAAGTTCACAGCCCTCTGGGAAATCCGTGCCCACCGGTCCAAAGGGGAATGCGCAGGCGTCGGCGGGGCCCGGCCTACCACGGGTGCTGAGCTCGGCCGTGCCCAGCAGCTACCGCAGCAGAATCCGAAAACCCAGACGCAAAAGCACAGGCTAAGGAGAAGTCCAGGTACCCCTTGGGTGTCCTCCCAGCCCACCAGTGACCCGCCAGAGGCGAAGATCAAAGGCGAGCTATAAGGAACGACCGCCAGGTCCATAGACAAGCTCCACCCTGTTCCTTGGACTTGCCCAAAAGATGGGTATCGTCCTTGAGACCAAAATGGCCACGAACGATACTTTCAGTTAAAATAACCCACCATCCACGCTCGCAATTGTCACTACAACAAGACGCAGGCTGTGTTTATCTCAACACCCGGTGCAGCGTGTCTCTCACTAGGCCTCGCGGAGGGAGTTGTAGTGCAATAAGCCCAAGCCTTCAGTGCCATGCTGCAAAAATGCGCAGTGGTTCAAAAGTTCAGGGTCTGAGACTGGCACGAGCCATTCCCTCCTCGTTGGTCGCGAGGCCGTCGCTGTGTGCTTCCCAAAACCCAGCATAGTGGTTGCCAGCAGTGCACCAGATGCCCCTGTGTCGAAGGCACAAGGCACAGGGTTTCTGACTACTGTCCTGCTCTGCTACGGGGATCTACGGGGTGTCGCTGTTCGCTATGTGACGTGTCGCTGGCACCTGCTGCAGAGCCTCATGGCAAGCTCCTGTGCCGAGGCGTGGAGACGTGGAAGGGCGTGGAACTGCGGGCATCAATGCGTGTCTTCTCCTGTGGCGCGAGGCTTTCCTTGCACACGGCGAAGGTGGCAGTGCGATGTGCGATTCGGCTCGGATCCGGTTCCCCCAACCTGGAATGCGCTCCACGAGCACAGATGCAGCACCAAACAAGACACCCCACATGCAGTTCACCCCTGCTACTTGTACTAGATCGTCAAGAGTGCGCGATGGCCAAGTGCCCAGCAGATGGACTGTCCGGATGCTCTGCAAGCCTTCCTTGCAGCGGCGCAGTGTGCTGTTGCGTGATCTCCACACTTCGAGACGAAGACGAGTCTGAGTCTGAGTCAGTCTGAGTCTGGGACCAAGAAGCGCCGCTTCAGATCATTCTCGTGAGCCTCGATGGCGTGCCAACCTCCGCGGCGTCGCGGCGCGGTGCCCGCTTTTGATCCCTTCGCAGAGCCGGCCGGGACCCGGCCTGCTTCCAGGCGCTCTGGACGTGGCGCACTTGGGGAAGCTCCTCCGAAGCGGTGGCCCAAGTCGGCCAAGTAGTTCACGGCCTTGTGGCTTGTGTGCACTCGCGCAGTCAGCTCTTGAGGCGCCGTTGACCCTGTAGCTGCCGAGGCTGGGACAGCAGTGACGCCTGCCAGCGCCTGTGAAAATATTCTCTTCCCCAATCAGAGACTTACTTCTAGTCTAGTACCCTTTGAATTGAAAGGGCCTCGTAGTTCTGGGTGCCGACTTCCCAGCGAGACATGTTGCCGTTGACCATGCTCGGCAAGGAGTCATCGGAGCAGTCCTTGGCGGACGGCAGACGCCGACGTGAAGGGCCCCTGCGTCGTGACATGTCGTGGCCGAGCGGCCAAGCGATCTGCTGGCAAAGACTCCAAGAGTCGGCGCCGTCCGAAGAGCACGCCTGGCCGACGGCGTGAGGCCTTTCGACCTCTCTCACGGCGCACGGACTGCCCAGGGCCTGGCCTGCGTGCGGGCCGAAGAACTTGTACGGAGAACAAACCAAGAAATCGCAACCTGAACAGAATGCAGCAGTTGAATCATCGAAGCACACTTCGTGCTTACAGTATCTTACAGCGCATGGCAGTGTTTGCATTCACATTGGCGGCTTCAGGTATCCTGCTTTGCTCAAGCCCCGGGCCGATGCGATGCACGTTGATGCGACCATGAGGAGCATAGTGCACAGCCTCCGCTCAAACCAGCGCAGCCCAAAAGCAAAGGGCGTTGCAGCACAAACAGTACCAGGAATCATCTGGCCAGGAAGCATCCACAAAAGTCAAGGCCTTTTCCTCTGACAGCTCTTTCGCAGTTTGGCAGAGCTGCTGGACGTCGTGAATAGACCCCACACCGTTTGAGGCGGCTCCCGCGGCAACAAAGCATGTGTTTCTATCGATTACTTTGTTGAGTGCCTGGTCGCTCGTATCCAGAGAGAGGGAGAGGCTAAGGTCTTTCACAGGTAACCAACGCACCTCCACCTCGGCTCCAAGCCTCCGAGCAAGCGAAAGCCAGGGCCACACGTTGGCACCGTGGCTCAAGGGGTCGAGCACGATGTTGCGCGGCGGCGACGTCGTCCCCTTTGCCAGTGCTGGCCCCAAGGCTCGGGCCAGGTGGAGGACCAAGGCCGTCATGCTGGCGCCAAAGACGACCTCCTGCGCTTCACATCCACCGAGGAAGTCGGACATCGCCAAGCGCGCCGCGGACACGGCCGCCTCTGCCCGGGAGCTGGACTCGTAAGCGCCACCGATGTTGGCGATGCCAGAGGTCAGCTGATCCTGCACAGCTTGGATGGCGGATTCATGGAGCTGTGAGCCACTTGCCCCGTCTGCCAGGACCGGTGCGTCCCTCAGACCACTGCGGAGGCCTGGAAACTCCTTCCTCACGGTCTCGCACAGCTTGTGATGGTCGTAAGAGTTGAGAGAGCGGACGGCTTCGTAATGAGTCTCAGGCTCGAAATCCAAACGAGCATAGGAGAAGAAGACGACGTCGCGGTTCTCGACAGAAACGTTTTCACCTCCTCGGTGCAAGATTCGGTCATCGAAGATCAAGACACTTCCGGCATCCATCTCGGCGGCGACTGGAAGCTGCGTGGCTCCGATCTTGTCTGGGCCATTGCCGGCGCGCTGGTAGAGGAGCTCTGTGGAGAACTGCGCTTTTGGATGCAAGTGGTTGGTGAGGACGTGAGATCCGGGCACAAGCTCCGTGGGCCCCATCTTCTTTGAGAGATTCCGAGTGGCCACAAGAACATTCAGCAGGTGGGGGCCTTTATGCTCGGGAGACACATGCGGCGAGTCGGCGTGCCAGATCTGGCGCTCGGAGCTGGGTAACGCACGCACTGTGCCGGCGAAGACCCTTCGGCTTTGAGGTGCTTGGATCTCGGTCTCGGCCAGGAGCTCGTTGGCAATACACTCGAATTTCTCCAGCAGTTCCGTCGGGAAGAGTTCGAAGTCGCAGGGAACGTCGTATCGGCCGGGAGACCGAAGCACGACCTTCCATGCTGCGAAAAGCTTGTAGACTCTCCTATGTTCTCCTGTGCAAGCTTTGCCTAGTCGGAATCCCGTGTGCTGCAGGTCTGGCGACCTTCATAGTAAAAGGCTATGCTTCAATTGCCTGCCCGGCCTCATGGAAACCTGCTCGACTGCCCACTGGCAGATCTACGCCTTTTGCACGGAGCATTGACAGCACTCGTTCAGTGTTGGAAGTCGCTGGTGTAGTAAGCCGACGGAGTTCATCGGGAAGGAACAGACCCTGCAACAGAACAAAACCATGCTGCAATATGCTCTCTGCTGCCAGAGCCTTGTAACCAGGTTCCGAAGCTTTCACGTTCCAAGTGCTCGCAACAGGTGTAGCCACAACAGCTTGTGATGAGCATCTGCGAAGATTGCTTGATGTGGAGGCTAGGCATCGCCAGCAGAGGGACCGCATCGTTCGTAGCGGGCACGTGTTTCTCTACCAATGACCACACTGCCTGCACGCTAGCTGTTGAACCCCACTTCAAGCGATGCATAGACTTTGGCGATGCAAACACTGCGTGTTTGCAACACTCGCGAGTGTCTGCAGCATCTGGTTGGTTGAATGATTCAGGCAGCTTGCCAAGCACATGTTCCACATAGTACACGGCTGCAAGAAGACTCAACGCCATGACAGTCCACAGTTGCATCGTCACAAGCCACAAGTTCAAGCCAGCGAGCTTCAGCAAGCTGGTGGATTTCTTCTGCTCGCTGCACGCACTAGACTCATTGATTCGATGCCGGACAGCCCGGCTTTGAGCTGCACATTGCATGCATTGCATTCACAGTGACTCAAACGTGCCTCAAATGAAGCGGTTCACCGAAGCACGCAGTGGAAGCTGGTTAGTGCTGTTTACGGCATTGCCATGTCTTCAGTGTCAAAAAAATGTCTGGTTAGTGCTGTAAGTTAGGGTATGGTAAAAACGTCAGAAGCTATTGCGGCGGCTTCGTGAGGCCTACCGTGAAAAGGGCGCCCACATCTTCTGTTGGCCGCCGTCCAAGCGGGTACCAATGGGCCCGAGGGGCTGAAGGACCTCTCTGAAGGATGGGGATCTCTCACCACGCTTCTGCGAGTCGGATCTCCGTGTCGGACCACTGGGACCACTGGGATCCTCAGAGCCCAAGTTGCAGAGATCTCTCTCAATCTCTCTCTCCCCCCTTCTCTCCCTCCCCCTTTCTCTCCGAGAACGACGTCTCTCACAGACCTCTCTGCAGCCAAGGCATCCATGGGCGGCTTGCCCAAGTTGGAGCGGCTATGGTGTCGGCTTAGCACCTGAAACCCGGGGATCCATGTTTTGTCGTTCTTCTATCATCACAGTTCACGGTGCGAAAATAAGACTTGATTGCAGAATGACAGCGGAGTTGAGCTGAACATGCTGCGGGAGGGAACCGCACCTGTGGAGCACTGCCCACTGTCCGTGCTTCTGTCGGTGACGAACCGGGCGAGGAAGGCTGCAGCGGCAGTGCGGAATGCACGACAGCCCAGCCCAGCCCAGTCCTTCCCTGAGTCGCAAGTGGCCTTAAGGCCAGGAGACATGGCTCGGCTCCGGGAGCGCGACGCCGCCCTCACCGCACTGCCTGCCACCGTCGCCTGAAAGGACCAATGCTGCCATGGCACCACCAGCTGCACGGTTGTTCGGTTGTACGCCTACGCGCTTCAAATGAGCCCTGCCAAGCCAAGGGGCCGAAGAGTCTTCCGCGGCTGCAGCGCCCAAAGCCATCAGACGCGAGTCCGGCGCCTGGGTCCCGCTTAGTCTGCCCCGAAATTCGGCATCCCGTCGGAGATCTTTCATCGATTTCAGGCTCTTCTGTGAAGGGTGAACGAGGACTCGAATGCGAAGCAAGTCCGTCGCCTCCGCCAAAGCTGCGCAGAGCAGCTTTCGCTGACTCACTTGAACCTCTGCATGCAGCAAAGGGTTCATTTCAGGGTTAACGGTCAGCCACAGGCCGTTGCAGAGCCTTCGAACATGCGGCTTGTTGCACCCGCGGGCAATTTCAAATTTGCTGGCATTGTACGGCGTGCAGACGTGATATTGCGCGCATTCAAGCTTCCTCTGGCGGACAGACCCGACTTCTTTCGAAACCCAAGCTCCTGTCTTAAAGCCAGGTTCCCCGAACCTACCGATGTCGTAGCCCTGGTCACCAACACCGGGAGGCTGGAACGGGATTGGAGGCAACACGCCTTTAGCTTCGGCTTCCTCACCAAACCCGCTTCCAGGCTACGCCGCAAAGGTCGCCTCGCCTCGTATAGCTGGATCTGTCTCGTGAAATCATTCGATATCGACGCTCAACGCTCGATCGCGGCGCACGCCATGTTTCTTGATGTCTTTCGATTTCACGACAGCTCTGGCAAAGTACTGAACCACAGCTGCTTTGCAGGATTTCTTGGCACATAATTTTCTCCTGAAGCTTGAGTTTTCGTGTGCACCTCTGTCGCAAGGCGCGTCTTTGAAATGCCACATTTTCTGGCGTTTCGGAACAGCAAAATGCTGTCGCAACTGCATCCCGTTCGGGGGGTGATCAGGGAGGGGCTGCGCCTCACCCAGAGAGAAGCGGATGGTCTCGCTGGAGAACTGGTTGCACCTCGTCCCCACAGAAAACACAACTCCCCAGACTCGCCCCCAACTCGGCATCGTGCGTGGCCAAAACCGCGATAAGCTGTGGCCGAATAGCATCGCTGTCCTGTCCATGCCGAGAAAGCCAAGGTACGCACGACAAACTTGCAGCTTCTTCACGCACTGGCAAAGGATGCAAGCCGAGGATTGAATGCCCGGCCAATTGGATTTTAGAACGACCCGATGTGCAGCAGACGTCTTCCATGAACGTCCGAGGGGTTGGCACACATAATCTGCAGTGCTCTGTCAGCATTGCAGGTGGTTCCTGTAATGCACAGCTCCACCAAGCTTGGAAAAGGCACAAACGAGCTGTTTCCAGACGATGAAGCGAACAGCTCTGAATCTTAAGCTGCTGGTAGTAGCTTCCAAAAGATGATTCGTCCAGAAGCAACGGGGCCAGGAAGATTTCGGCCAGGTGAATTCAGCCCTACACGATGCAATGTGGATAGTGCTTCAGAGTGGGCTAATCGACACTAGTCGCATTTGCACCTATGCACCTACAAGATCCCGGAAGCACCGAGCCACATGAACTCTGCTTGGATTAGGAGCACTTCCGCTCAGCCTTGAGTATCGCAGACAGCCCAGACGGCCTACAAATTTAAATTAGTCTCGAGCACGCACGAGTTTGATGCGTCGCTTCAAACGGCAATCGCCAGGACAGATTGCCAAAAGCAAGTGCTGCCCTTTCTCTCGCTTCTTGAGACTATTGAACTACTGTAGCTACATCACCGTATCGCGCAGCTTCTGATCAAGATGGCAAGATTGCAGTGAGTCTGAGTGGCTGTACGCACTGTCTGTCCGACCGTGCACAAGCCATTTTCATCCATTTCCCTCTCACGTGGAAAGGAGCGTTCTAAGCGTGGTGCTCGCGGCCTCATCTGACGCGAACCGCACATGTGTGTCTGGAGGGCGGCAGACTGGTTAGTCGAAATAGAGCCTGAAGACAGGGAAATCGGGAAGGCCTGAGCTATCTCAAAGATCGAAAGATTGGTCCGTCTGAGAGGCGTGCTCTCGGCTCGGAAGTCTAGCTCGGACGCTTCCGAAAACGCTTTGCTTCTCTCCGCATCCCCAGAGCCAGGCGGCTCTCCGCAGATCACCCAGCGTCGAACTTCGTCGCATCCGCTTCCTGATCGTCTGTGGCTTGCAGGACGGTGGACTGGCACGGTGTGGCATTGCACCTGGTCTTCCCGGCTTCCTCCACCTGAGCTGTCACACACGGAAGTCAAAGTCACCCACATTCTACAGGCACAGCTTGGGACGAAACATCAACTTTCGAAAGACTTCTGGAAGGTATATCGTACATCTCATCGTCGACGAAGGAGAACTCCCAACCCCGGATGTCCTGACGAAGACTTGGTTGTTGATTTCAGGCTGCTCTTCTGTCAGGGCGAGCCTGTGCGGAGGAAGACCATGACCGGAACACCTGCATGATCATGCATAGTGGCATAAAGCCGACATGCAGAGCTCAAGGCAAGCTGTGAGCTTGGAGTGCTCTTAGGCTTGGAGCAGGGTTCCTGACAAGCCGTCTTCGAACTTTTCGGGGCTGGCCCTAGGGGCGTGCAAGCTCAACTTGACCAAGGTTTTTCAGGTACTCCGTGCTGGTACGCGTACTCAACGCCGGTAAGACTTTGAGAGCCCTTCCTATGAGAGATGGCCAGCTGTCAGGCCTTTCGTCCGAATCTGCCCTCGAACGGGCTGGCCACCTTCACAAAGACTGTCCAGTGAGTCCAGTGCAGTGTGCAGTGGGCCGTCAGCAGGTGCTGCCAAGGCGTGTGGATCGAAGGTGCCTTTTCGTCTGACCGCAACATGGAGAAGGCTGTGGACCGGTGGCGCAGAGGTGGCACGGGAACCTTCGACACAGAAGCTTCTCCACACATGAAACAGGTTGTGCAACTTCAAGCCAATACGGAAAAGCCTCGCGCTTGAGCACTTGGTCGAAATCAACTCCGGCAAAGAAGGGGTGTGAGCGAACCTTGGAACACATCCACCCGCAGGGCCCACTGTGTTTCTCCGACGTGTGCATTCTCGCCTCGGATGTTTGTCTTTTGCCGATCCTTTTGGCCTCGCGGTCGGCGCAGCATAGCAAAGCTGCTTGCTGAATGCAGTAATCATGCCAGTTCTACCAGCTGCTTGCAGCTTGTCTACAAGCATAGCCAGAAGCTTCACAAGAAAGAAGCAAATCCCCACTCGCTGTTTGAGGCTCCAGCCGGGTCTCGCTGCATCAGGGCCTTGATGAGATCAGCGCACCGAGAGCTGCAACGTGACGGAGCCTTTCAACTTTATCGCTGACGCCAGACACTTTGAGAAATGCAGTTCGACGTCAATAATATTGTAGTCTCGTCCAATCTTCATGGAAGGGGTCATGATACATCAGCAGGCTCACAGGGGCCTGCTGGGATATTTTTCCCTCTTTCACCCCATCCGTGCGTTTCCAGCAATATCTGAACAACCTGTCATGAAGCCAAGGCCTGCAGTGGGGCGGTAACGATGTTCCGAAACAAGGTATCCTTGCATGTGGCGAGAGTCCGAGGAGGGATGTAGTTGTTCAAACTGAGATGCGTGCCCTGTCTCTGCTGTAGTATGGGGGCTGGCCTTCCAGATGTGTGTGCAATGAGGAACATGCGAACTGGACTCGACCCGTTTAGCAAATGAGCATTGCAGCTGCAGCATGAAGGTGCTGGGAATCGAGGACAGCCTAATTGTAACAGGCATGTCGGTTACACGGCCGACCTTTGTGTTTCTACGGCACAGTTCCAGTTCGGCCAATTTCAGAGACCACTTCAGACATGCTGGCTCCTTCAAGGTGGCAACACGTACAATCCTTGTGAAGCGACGAACGTGCCGTAAGCATGTCACTGCCTGAGACAAACCCGGCCTTCCATCATCTCAAAGAGAAGCACCTGACACCACGAGTGAAGCATCGAAACGCAAGGTGATCTAATCAACAGGCTACTGCGGCTACTCCGCGGCTACTCCGAGTACTCGGCGCCGAGGCCGTACAGGTCCACGTTCCGCCCGTGACCGGAACGGGTCAAGATTTCGGGGGCAAGGTACCTCCCAGATGTGAATGCAGAGGGAACTACCCGACTGCCGACTGCCGAGCTCGAAGCTCTGTGCCAAGGCACGCAACGGAGCCACAGAAAGACTTGGTGCCACCGAACTTGTCGACGCCCTCTTTTGAGAGACCAAAGTCCTGCGCAAGCACGCCCCGAAGCGAACTGGAAATGCCCGGAGCTTACAACCAACAGAGACACATGATCGGAAGCACCGTGATGGTCTTGCGGTAAGGGTCCTTTTTTGTGGACCCGCCACCCCAAAGCCGTACAGTTCAAGCACAGAACAGCGCATGTGTGAGACTGTCCATGCCTTTCGAGGCCACTGCGATTTGATTTCTTCAAGCTGTGTTGGCCTGTTTCCGTGCACGGAGTGTGGCAATAACTGACATGCTGCCTCACTTGTACGTAGCATCGGACACCTTGCTTGTACCGTATTCAACCCGCAGTTGTTCTTGCATTACCACTGTTCCACGATGGGTGGTGCTGCAGCATGCTCACAGCGAGCATCAACACGAAGCGTTAAAATCAACCATGTATATGTATGCCTCGCAGAGAAGATACTACACCCAGGTCACGCTTCTAAACCCCTTGCCCCTGCCCGAAGTCCAGTTGTTGAGGACAGGACTGGTGCAGTCTCAGAAGCTGGGTGCTCAGTGATACATCTCAACATCTAATGGATTTGGATTGGCCCCGCCCGTCCCTTTCATGTTTGCTCAGCGCGACGCCCCATCCCACCCGAAACATACCTGCAAGACACACGTAAACCAGAGTACCAAGCACCCACCACACGCGTCAATATTCGGCAAGCAAGGCAGGCCACTCGCATGTGGAGGACAGAGTCAGAATTCAAGAGTTCACCTGTCAAATGGCGTACATGTCGCGGAAGCGTGCTGCGACACTGACAAGCTCGCTCCGTAAGTACGGCATGAGCTTCGTCGTCCAAGACCTTAGCCCACATGAAGTCTGCAACGCTAAGAAGCCCGTCGCAGTCGCAGCCGCTGATCCGTGACTTCCAGAGTGTCGGGCCACATTTTCGGGTTTCAGATCGCGGTAGACAACTCGCCTCTCGTGCAAATGCTCCAAGGCGAGTAGCACCTGCGACATGCACGGAGCACGCTCACGCCCGAAGGTAACATGATATCATGATGTGCTTCTGGCGCGCCTCAGACACATAAAGCTGCGCGACTGCCTGTCCGTGACTGTTTGATGGCACGGTCAGGGTCGCTTAGTTTTCCGCAGCGCTGCTTGGAGGCATTGAGAAACTGGAAACATGTGATCAGATGTGATCAGCACTGCACGCCTCTGGCAGCGCGCCCTCGCGTTGCAGCAGCATCGACAAGTTGCCACCGGGACAATATTGGAGAACGAGTACCTCGCCATCCGCCGAGGCTTTCGGCTCCCAAATCGCGGTTACATCGGCTTTCTGCTATATGTAGAAGGCCATGCACATTGCCACAACACCAACGCTTGGTCACTAGGCAGCTTGGAGTTTGGAAGGCGTGATACAGCCTGCCACCAGTTCAGCAGGCTGCATCCCATCCGTGAATGCAAAATGCAGCGTTGCACCTGACGATAAAGGGATGCCTGGCTGGCAGTTTGCAGCACTACTATCTTGCAGGACTCGGGTCGACCCGTCGGCCTGATGTACGAGAGGAGATTCCTTTCCGTCAGCGCGTAGCGCATCAGATTTCTGTTCAGGATCTTACCTGCAGCATGTCCGCACGACGGAGTCGGAGGAGGCAACTTGGTGGAATTACATGCCAGGCGATCGCTTTCGCAGTACTTTCATCGCAAAGACCTCCCAAGCCGTGGCAAGGATGCGGGAAGTGCTAAGTAGGCCGTGCTGCAGGTTCGTGTCCGTGTCCTGGCCTGGCCCGTTTGTCGGTCTTCGACTCGGAAGACCTCCCCAAAAGATCCCTTGCCTTGGAAATACTTCCGAGGTCTGGAGTCCGAGAAGATCTCAAGAGGTCTATGGGTCTCAGCTCACCACCTAGAAGAGATAGCAGGCGGAAGGAGTCAGGCCTAAATCGCCGAAAGCTGACAGGTCGCAACATGTCGGTCGCTTGCATGCGCTAGGCGTGTGCTGGGCACCGGACCCGATCGCCTCGGAAGGCTCCCTTTCCTGCAGCCTCAGGAAGGACTGCGAAAGAGACCGCGAGGCCGGACGGGCCGTCAGCGGCGAAATGGCGCTGCCATCGGCGTCCCCGGAATCCGCGGCAGCAAGCAGCCGCTGCACCGCATCGCAGCGCGAGCTGCGCAGAAGCACCGCCGGCCGCGGCCGCACCGGCTGCGGCTGCTCCTCCTCTTCATCTTCCTCGTCGCCGAACTCCAGGAGTCGCCGACCGGCATAGCTGTCTATGTCGGTGATTTTGGGGAAGCAGCGGAAGGTCTGGGCGTCGGCGGCGACCTCGCAAGGCCGCTGCCCGAAGTGGTTCCGTATCTGTAAAAGCCCAAAGGAGACACCGTCGCCTCCTGTCAAAAGGAAGGCCACCACGTGCGACTGCCCGGCGGCAGCTGCCAGGTGCAGTGGTGTTTCGCCCTGGTCCGCCTGTGTTGTCAGATCGCAGCCAGCCGCGAGCAAGATCTGCAAGACGGGCAAGTGACCACGCTGGCAACAGAGATGCAGAGCAGTGAAGCCTGCATCTGTCTGGGCATCAATGCTGGCTCGCAGCTCGAGCAAGGCCGAAATACAGCTCGCATGGCCTGCAAAGGCGGCGACATGCAGACTAGTACGCCCATAAAGTCCCCGAGTGTCTGGGTGGACCTTGTCTGAGTCTGCATCCGCAGTCGCTTCTTCTGGCTCGCTGTTCTCCCCGTGCCCACAGTCGAAATCGGCCGAGGGCTGGCGACAAAGAGAACGTATCCTCGCCGTATCTCCACTTGCAGCGGCCTCAAACAAAGACTCCACCGTTCTCCTTCGAAGCTTCCACCACGAATCCCAAGGCACAAGGGCCGAAGAACCGAGGTGCTCCCAGTTGAAGCTGTCGAAGTCGTCAAGACCCTCAACTCGACCGGTATCCAAATTCACGGCGACGTTCAAGCTTGGAGTTGGCTGCTCACGCTGGTGCTGTGAGGCGACAGATTCGGTGAAGTCTCTTTGTTGCCTCTGGTGGGAGGCACCCATGGCGATCCCTACCCATTGCCTTCGGCGCCCGAAGTTATCACGGATTCAGGCTTCCCAGTTCAGGAGTAGAACTCTGCTGAGTGTCACGACCCTCCCCTGGGCCACCATGCTCGTCAGGCTGAGACACGTGGTCATGTTCTCTTGAGGGGATGGCGAAGATCGAGGCAAAGACAGAATGATTGAGAGGATGCATCAAAACGGACGGAAGATCCTAAAGACTAAGGAAGGCCTCGACACAGCTCCCCCGCACTGAACCTGGCTCACAGCTCTTCAATACTCCTCCGTGCCACAAAGGCGGCTCTGCCTGGCCTTCGAGCCGTTCCAGGTGGCCTGCCACAGCATCCAGCAGCAGCATTACCACGTCTTTTTGGGCGCAGAGCCTGACCGCATGATCGCAAGGTGTTGACACACCGCAATGCTGATGCAAAGAAGCCCTGCCGTAGGCCGAAGTCGCTCAGCAATGTGCCTGGCGTGCTCCAAGCTCCGTGGGAAAAGAGATCACATGGCATTTTATCTAATCTTCGAACCTAAGAAGAAACTCTATGAACCTTTGCCGGGCTAGCGAAGCAGAACCAGCGGCCGTACAGGTCGCTCTGAACGTGCCACGCAGGCTATCACCTTGCACATCCAGAGCATGAGGAATGCAAAGACACGCCAGCTGAAGCAGCTAGGACAAAGCTCTCGGCCATCTTCGTGACTGCCTCGCAACCCACCTGACACTGCGGCTGAGTGGCCAGCTTTCTGTAGCTATTGCACCGTGCCTTTGGGTGCTTGGCAAGCTGCTGCACCAACTTGTCTGATGCAACACCCACCTGCACGATGTGGAGTTCTGCAGTTCTGCCAATCTTCCTGGCACAATGCCGCACGAGAATGCGGCCCGGCCTTGACGTCCCCCGCCAAGCCCGAGAGCGCTGTTCGCTCCATCAGCGTCGGAAAAATCTTTGCCAAGGCCATGTTCAGGTCTGGCAGCTTGGGTGGCAACTGCAACGCAAAACAAAGCATGGTACTTTAGAATCTGTTATAGCGTATTACTATGGTCCAATTAACATGGTATACTATAGTCTATTGTGGTATATTATACAGCAACAGCACGGGTTGAGAAATCATTGGTTTAAGAAGTTGAGCCCCTCGGACAGCCGTGCAATAAAGATATATGTACAAAAAATGCATGCGCACATTCAAAATAAGAACTCCAGAGTACCCTGGACTCGGCGTGCCAATTTCTCATTTTGCTTTTTCTCATTTTGTCTTCGCTGGTGTTGTTCGCGCAACAAAAGCCAAGAAACTATTAGAGTAGATTTCGTATCCCAATAGCTCGGCGCCAAACCCTTACAAAGGAGCCAAGAGATGAGAGCACAGGAGGATTCGAGCCCGCAGCACGTCCCAATCCAGTTCATGTGCTTATCCACTCGGGCATGGCAGCCTGCAGACTCCTGAAACGCCACCATATCGATCCCACTCTGTACCCAGCTTGTAATCAGCCCTTACCAGAACCCCGCAAAATAAGAACTCGAGCCGCCCAATCTCTTACATTTAAGAAATCGAGCCCCTCAACTTCTTATTTTGGTGGTTTTCGTTCCTATATGCAAAGCTTGAATTCAGCCCTTATTAAGCCCCTGCAAAGCCCTCCAAAGCTGTTATTAAGGCCTTATTAAGCCCTTAAGGGCTTAATAAGGGCTTAAATAAGGCTTTGCCATATAGGAAAAAATAACCAAAATAAGAAATTGAGAGGCTCGTTTTCTTAAATTTACCGAGGGGCTCGATTTCTTCTTTTGGGGGGTTCTGGGCTTGCCCAATAAGGGCTCAATAAGGCCTGAAAAACAGCTTTGGAAAGCGCTGGAGGCTTTGTAAGGGCTTAATTAAGGCTTTGCCATGTAGGAAAACCACCAAAAGAAGAAATTGAGGGGCTCGTTTCTTAATTTAAGAAAACGAGGGGCTCGATTTCTCATTTTGGGGGGTTCTGGGCTTGCCTGATAAGGGCTTAATAACGCCTTAATGACAGATTTGGAGGGCTCTGGAGGCTTTGTAGGGGCTGAATAAGGGCTTAGATAAGGCTTTGCCATATAGGAAAAAACCACCAAAATAAGAAATTGAGGGGCTCGATTTCTTATTTTGGGGGCTGCTGGTGAGGGCTGATTACAAGCTGGGTGAAAAATGGATAAATATGGTGCTGGAGGCTGCCATGCCCGAGTGGATAAGCACATGAGCTGGAATGGGATGTGCTGCGGGCTCGAATCCTCCTGCGCTCTCATCTCTTGAGTTTGTTTTTTATTTGCTGCCGTTGCAAGTTAAGAAATTTGGGTTAAGAAATTTAGGGTACCCTCAAACCCCGAAACGTTTCAAGCACAGAAAAATGTGCGCTTCAACAATGAGAGATCGAGCCCCCCTCATGAAAAATTAACTGTTTCCTGACCGGCGCTGTCGCTGTAGTCTATTATTATAGTATATTGTATGCATGTTCCCAAACTCGGCAGGCGTAGCCAAGACCGGAGAGACTCGCGGCAAGCTGCTGCACAGAAAGCTGGCAAAGCTCCACCTCGCAAACAAGTCAATGTGTGCGCAGACATCACCCAGAGTCCTCCCAAACAACCAAAGCGTATACCGCTCATATCATTTGCTGAGGGACTTCGGGAAGCCTGTCAAGTGACGTGCTCAGCCCGGCACGGCACAAAGGAAAACCAGACGGTCAGCCCCGACAGGAAATGCCAGGGCTTGCTGTATCGCTCGGCAAATGCCTGCAAATGCCTTGCCCAGTGCAGCATCCCTTCGGCCCTGATCCACTGCGTGACCGGCCGGCACCTCCGCGCTCTGGGCTGCCTGTGTCTTGTCTCTCTCAGCTTTGCAGGCCTCCCGAGAAGCGCCATGGAAGAAAGCCGCACACCACCTCCCAGGCACCCCGCCTTGCCCAACGCCTTCAGCGCAGCAATGACAACCTGAAGACAACTGCCAAGCAAGCAGACTTCATGCTCTGTTCCTGTGCACACTGCCGGCTTGCATCCTTTTTCATCGTGTTTCATTGCCGCGTGCGGCACAACCTTGCTGACAACGCTTGTTGCCCATTTTATTTATGGAAAACTCAAAGCGAAACTCCATAGGTTGCTGCGTTCTCCCACAGCATCCTCCTCCCCAACAATCACAGCCACTGCTCGTCAAAGATGCCCAGTTTGTTCAAGTCATGAAATTCAAAAAGCAGAACATCCGAGCTGGCAAATGGGCTGTGCTAAACCAGTAGAATGGAGGGTTTCCACGTTGATGACGCTGTTGCTCAGCAGTCTTACTGAAAAGCTGCTGACATCGGCAATGTTGATGGCTTTGTGGGCTCTAGGACTTCATCTTTGACCGACTTGATACAGGAGCATGCCACGCATTGCTTTCAGTTTAGTCAACGCTTTCTCACATGGATAATATCTCTCACGGCACTTCTTCCCTCAGATCGTCTCTGGTTAACTTGATGTCCGGCTCTTCTTCTGTTTCTCTTGTCTTCTTGTTTGCCTATGCTGTTGAGTGTTTGCCAGTATTATCGCTGGCAGGCGTCAAGTTTTTTATGCATCACATTCTCCTCGGCGCCTGTCCATCTCCTGAAAGAATGCTACATGTGGATTGTCACGTTATGGTGCGCATCTCGAGATTATCTGCGCTACCCACATGCTGCCGCCACGGCTGGCTGAGAAACCTCGCGCTGTGCAAGACTAGGCTTTGGAACATCTCTCTCTACATGGCCGAAGGCACATAACACGGTTGAGAGTGTGCATGCTACGATGTCAGGGATGCCGACCTGCTGACAATACATGCAACCTGTTGCGTTTGTCACCACATGGAACACTAATTTCAAACAAGCTTGACGAGGAAACGTCTTTGCTATGTGGGGTCCACTGCGAGCTGAAGGATACTGGTCTCGGCAACCAGGGAAGATGTTGGGGGCCTCCTCAAGCAACGGAACAGGCTTCGAGACCAAGCCTGACACTTGCAAGACGGCACGCCGGTGCATTTGGCTTGCTTCGTTGGGGCCCCTTCAAATGCTGCAGTTTAGATGCACTTTCCGTGTTTGCAAGGTTTTACATGTCCTTTGCTAAGATGCAACTCATATACCTTTCCAACACTGTCGGAATCCGTCACTGGCCACCACTTGTGTCGAATCTCAAGTGGGTCATGATGTCATAGCGCGATTCATGCTGCGTGCCAAGATTCTTCGGACGGGGAAATCTCAATCGTTCGAACATGCTGCAACAAGCGCACCTTCAAACACAAACAAGCGGCATGCAATGAATATGACACTGCGCAGGGGCATGGTTCCCGCATGTGCATCTGGAAGGGCGCAGAATTTGGAGAATAATAGTGTTGTCTATGAGGTGGGGCAGGCATGTTTTGAGCCAGATCAGGTTGTGTATCAGTGAATGGCTTTGACGGAACATGTTCTCAGCCAGGTTGGGGACTGACCGAAGGAAATCATTGACATGCTAGGTTTTTGGGACGGAAGCGGGGACGGGTTCTAGCGCCGTGCTGTGCATCGTCACAGGCAAGGATGTGTAAATCAGAAAGAAGGTCCGATCGTGCCTTCTCCTCGCCCTTCTGCGGTGCTGTCAGAGCGTTCAGCACCTGAAGTTCAAGTGATCACCGAAACAGACCCAGCTTCGGTTCCAGCACCTCTTGCTCGCAGGAACACCACGAAGCCAAGCCGGAGGGCACCTAAGTCGCTAAAAGCTTGCTCTGAGCTTTCGAGCATTGGCCTGGCGGCCTGGCCTCCCAGGAATTGGCCGTGATCACTTCGACTCTCTGCGAACGGTTCAAGCTTGAGCTTTCCTCAACCTGCGACTTCGAGCAGGAGCCGTGCTAACCCTGCTTTGTCGTTCTACGAGGCTAGCACAGGTGCACAAGGGTTCTTCACAATGCGCGCAAGGTCTGTGGTGCATGTGGCAGGGTCAGAGCTCGTCCCACTCAGTGGCTGCAAAGTTTGCCTCCATTAGCTTCTTCGCATAGGTCGAGTTTGGCGTGGAGGAGCTTGCTAACTCCTTCGTCCACTGAATGAAGCACTCTTGCAAATTGCCTTCCAGAAGCGCTTCTGCGACTCTCTCTGCTGTGAAGTGCATGTGCTTCACAAGACCTTGCCAGACTGCCAGAACCTCTGTGGCTCTGGCCCTGTAATCGCAGCCGACGCCGAATAGATGCAGGTCGCCCATTTCTGGGAATGTGTCTTCATGTAGGCATTCAACGAAACGCCTTGAAATCTGAAGTGCCTCCTGTCTTTCCAGCTCTTGCTTTCTTTCTTTCGTCTGCGTTTCTCCCATGTGCCGCTTCGCCGACGGTTCATCCAGTGGCGCATCGTAAACCAGTTGCAGCTTCTCGGGTCGAATCGCGGTCACGTCTCGGTCGGGAAAATGGACACCAACCCGGTCCCTGCTGTAGCGGCACACCCGGCCTTGCAAACCGTTCAACTCTGCTTTGCTCAGGCCTTTGGCTTCAACTATGCTGTCTTTTGGAAATCGCAGCGACAGGAAAGCCAACGGATGCTCGTCGATGTTCTCCCGAACGAACTGCTGGAAGGCGCTGGGCTCCAAAATCCGGTTTGTGACCTCCGTGAAGTGGCCCTCGCTTTCGCCGGCCTGCTCCATCCAGTGGCTGATATACTCACAAATGATTTCGAAGTCGTGGCTGGAGAAGGGCACCTGGTCCTTTCGGGCCAAGACCACAGGCGGAGCGGGACCCCGAGTTCCTCCATACTGCCACTCCTCAGGTGCCAAACCATCGCAAGTGTCGGCCATGAAACGCACAATCGCATTTGAGCGGATGTTGGAGTCGTCACCGCCCGTTCCGGACTGGATCTTGTAAAGGATTGTGACTCCAAGCTTCTCTGGGACAGGAACGGAACGAAATGTTTCATCTATTTTCACTTCGACATCCTGCTTGTCGGGGCCGTGGACACGCACGCCTGGCACCATTGCCGCGTCCACTTGATCCCGCCTTGAGCCGCGACGCTGCGCCGCAGGCTCTTCAGAACACTCAAGCAGCACAGCGCAGCACAGGTGCATCGCAGCCGGTGTCGGGCCTCCTCCGGGAGCTTTAGGTAGCGCCGCACCTCCACAAATTCGTTGACAGCACGTCTGAGAATGACCCTCCCTTGTCAGCGCGCCTGCGCTACAGACTTGGAGGGTACATCCCTCGGCAGGGCCGCGACCCAAGCCTGTTAACACACAGCTGAAAGGGCATGTCGCACTTCGCGTCAGGGCTGCACGGGCTGCAAAGCAAGCTCTTCAAAGCTGTCCTGCCTCGCGCCCCGGTCGCTGAGCCTCCTCGTCGCCCAAGGATTTTAAGTGCCTGAAGCAAACTCAGACTTCCTGCAATCCTTCTAGAAGATCCTGACTGCATTAGGTGGCCGCACATTTTGCACACCAGGGCAAACAGGCGGACGGATTCATGTCTCACCTTGCAGTTTGCGGCCGTGCCAACTTGCCTAGGCCGCTCTTCCAAGTTCGTTGAGGCCACAGCAGTGGGGTCAGAATGTTTCAGTCCATCGGAGAGCCTAGTACCATGGAACAGAACCACTTCCCCCACTTGGGCGTCCGGTGACCTGCCTCACCCATTCGCCTGGGCTTGTGCTGCCCGCGTGCTGCACGATTGACTTGGAATGCTCCTGCCACGGATGTGAGCAGAACCGCGAGAATGCTGCTGCTCACTGTGCAGAAGGGAAACTCATGAATTGTGAGTGCCCAGTTCCGCGATTCTGAGTCTTGCATTGCATTCAATGATTTCAATGTGCTACCATTCGTCCGTTTAATCGCAGCTACAAATCTCAGAAGCTCTGCACATCATCTGCAGGTTCTGATTGTGTTTCAGCGGCCTTGCACAAGTCGCGCAGGGCTCCCAAGCGGCAAAGCCATCCCGTTGCAGCTCCCTGGGTTTCGGGCAGAAGCACAGGCCACGCCATGCATCGAAAGAGCCGCCTTGCCCGTGGCACCCTTGGCAACGGAGGCCATGGGCGAGTCGCCCTGGAGCCAGGACTTTGGACTCTTTGGACTTTCACCATGGCTTTCTCAGCCCATCTCAGCCCCCACCTCCTCTTTACTCGGCATCAAATGCCGTAAAATTAACATTGCAATCGCCACCTGACAGGAAATGAAATCGAAGAGTGCACTGAGTACAGTACACACGGTCACGGTGCAGCTTCAAAGCAGTGCCGAGGGAGGCTCCGGGCTGACGATGTTCCCAGTTGGCGGGTTCAGAAGACGGAAAATTGCCTGACCCGAGGTCAGCTGTGACATTCGACAGACTTAGCGACGGAATTTCGATGCCTGGGTAGTTTGAGTGCGGACGACCTCCACGGGTTTCGCGGTCGGTTGCAGCTAGCCGCTCGTGGAAGTGGGGGCTTCGCGCCTCCTTTGAGTCGCCCATGCGGGCGCAAAGTTGACGAAGCAAAGGCGCCAGATGCGCCACCTGCCAAAGGTCGAAGGCGTTGGGATAATTTCTTCAGGTTCAATCACCCCCCTTATGTTTTCAGCTCAGGGGATCACTAGCAGGCGCCCATCAACTGTCCCGCAGAAAGACGGCACGATGGCCGTGACTGACATGCATGCCTCACGACGAGTTGCTAAACGCTCTCTTCTCCATTCTAACTGCCTTCAGCCCAGGCAGGGACCTCTGCATAAACTCGCACATTCTGGTCTCCCAAACCCTGCAGGCATCAGTGGTGGCTGTCGGCTATAGCGCGAGTCAAAGCGTGGTGCGCAACTTCCAATGAACACGCGCAAGCTGTTGCCAGCCTCATGCACAGCTCGCATCGCTCCATCCAGAAGTTCTGCAAGAACATTAGGTGATACCTCCGCGTACAGCAGTAAAAGAGCTCCATAAAGCTGGCTGCAGCCCAGCTCACACAGCTCTCGCCTCTGATGTCGACAGCTCCTCTAGCCGTTGGGCCATGCTCGCTGCCAAATGTGTCAAGGCCTGTGCTCGGGTCGGCACGGGCAAGCGGAGAGGGGACGTGCTCTCCTCTCGTGCTCTCGTCTCTCCGAGACAGGGACTGCCACTCGGCACTGCCAATTCCGGCTATAAAAACACCTCCACTCGGCACGTCCAGACACACACAACGATACGCACCGCATTCCCATCCCAGCACAGCTCGCAGCAAACTCGCAGCACCTTGTCCAATCTTCCCCGAAAAGCGCAATCAGCGGCGCAACAAAATCCAAGGCGACCTCTCACTGGTCGCTGCGGCTCAGAGGAACTTAGAGAAGCGATGTGCCCTGCCTCGTCCAGTGCCTCAGCCAAGGGCAAGGCCTTTCACAGAGCGGAAAACACTGAGAACGACCACTGTCCAGCAAGACTGCCCGCTGTGGAACAGCGGTGGCGGCAGTAGCAGTAGCAGTAGTAGTAGTAGTAGTAGTAGTAGTAGTAGTAGCAGCAGCAGTAGTAGTAGTAGTAGAAGTAGAAGTAGTAGTAGAAAGGTAGTAGTAGAGGAGAACGAGACCTAACAGTAATGGCAAAAGTCAGAGCAACAGTGATAGAAAGACTTACTTGACAGCTGCATGATATGGTGCGGCCGCAGGCCAACGCCAACTAACAGTTCGAAATTGCAATCCCAATGAGCTGTTCCCTGGCAGGGTTTTTTGGCCGAACTGCGACAGAGTATTGGCACTATTTAATACTGCTTTGTAGATTCTGGGTTTGCAGGCGACGCGCAAGTCGGAGTCCCTCCAAAATTGATGTGCCGATGTACATCTCACTCCGAACTGTGTGTGACCCAGTCGTGAACTGCTCGCTTATCGAGGAAACGTTGCTTATGCTGTCCATGACATGTTTGCAGGGGCCTCCATGATCGACAGCATGTTCAAGCATCTAGAAAGACTGGCTTACAGCTGTCTCACGTCTTTGTTCCCAAGTACCCGATCGCGTGAGTGGCGACTGTGTTACCCGGCCGCTCTTTCCTCAAAGATATGCAAATGCCGGTATTGCATGCCGAGCTATCACTTAGCATCTTCGACGCCAATTGATCGAAGAAAAGGCAACAGAAGTAGCCACCGCACAGCCTAAACAACAAGGTCGGACCCGGAAGCAAGCAAACGAGTGCTCAGCTCAAAGCGTGGACATGCGCACAACTGCGCAAAGATCCTCGCCTCCTTTAGAGCCGCCTCTCCCTCAGCCAATTCTGGCACCTCGGTCGTCCAGGACTTGCCGCCTCAACTGGGAAACTGTGAAGCTCTGTAAGGTCAAGACCTCATCAGCTCCACCGCATGCACTCGACTTAACGTCGAAAAACTTGACTCCCTGAATCATTGAGAGGCTTGCATTTGCAGTCCGACGCAATTCACGAATGAGCCATGTCATTCAACGTCCGAACACGCAGATGTTGCTCTTCCAGTTCACACCGCAGTACTGTCTTCGTCCGCGCATGCTTATGCACAAAACCATGCAGAATCACTTGACTTTACTCGCATGGGTGCTTTTGCTGCGCCGCGAACCTTTGCCAATGAACGGTGTCCGCTACATGGTCAGCTGTTCTTGATGGGCTCTACGGGACTACAGCTGTGATCTCTGTGCAAGTTGGGATGTGGTTTGCCACGTTGGGCCAGAGCTTTGCGGCTTGAAGGTTTGTGTTGCTGCGGGCTTTGGCTTGCTATTTGAAGCTGGATTTGGTCAGTTCTCGTTCCGTCGCTTGGGGTTCGGGGCGTTTGGATTTCGGTACCGGAAGTTTGGGCTCTCTTGTTCCAGATCGTACGGTAGGAAGAGCAGCGTAGCCCACGGCTACGTTCGACCGTGGCTGGAATGGGAAATGGGAATTCAAACTCTGTTCTTCGGCCTTGGGTAGCGGTTGAACCAACTCCAGTCTTGCAGCTTGCATGCCAAAATAGCATCACCTCCATACACAAAGCCGCAAGTCTGCATGCAAGCAGAAAGTTGGAGTTTGACGAAGATGTCCACAAGGCCGCATTCAATTCAATACCGTAGTGATTAAGCAGGCACAGAGACCTCGCGAACACAAGATTCACTGGCCATGCGCGGCGCCGCACGAGCTTAGGATCCACGAAAACGTTTCTTTTTTTCCTTCTGGCGTCTGGCGTTCGGCTCCAGATCGGCGCCAGTTTCTCAGAGTGTCAGCCCCGAGCCCGGGCCGGCAGCCGCACGCTTTCATTGTTCAGGAGTGATTCGTGGGATTCGATGACTGCCACCAGGACTAGATGGACCCCGGTTCGTGCAGAGCGCAAACGCACATCCATGGTATACACTTCGGGGGTTGGCGGGTGGACTCGCTGGCAAGCTTGCCGCCTTTCCGGGGGGAACATGGATTTGAAATTGATTCAACAGGACTGGAAAAAGGCGGCACTCACTGGCAATCATCTGACAGAAGGTTGGCGAACAGAAGTTGAAGGAATGAGAGTTTTGCTGTGCCAGCTTGCTCAAGGTGCAGGTGTGGACGGCCAATTTCAAGCGAAAAGCCAGAAAGTCAGCTTGGATCTCGGATCGAAACTCCTGCGGAGATGCCCCGTGCCTCATCGAAACCACCAGGGCCCGGCTCCGCCTGCGGTGGCCCAATCTCTGCTTCCGCTTCGCAAGGCTTCGCCGATCTTCGCCGCTTCCGCCGGCCTCGACAGCCGGGGCCTCGCTGTGCACGGAGTTGTCGCTCTCGTCCTCCATGGTAGCCCTGGCAGCCGGACGGTGGACGCAGCGCGCAACGTGTGCCACGTGGCGCCCGCCTGCTCATGCCGGTTCCAGGCCTTCTCCCAGTGCCGGGACGAAAACTGGCGGCAGGCGGCAGCGGCGGCAGGATGCAAAGGCGGAGCAGCTGAATAAAGCTTTCTCTAGTCACAACTCTCCTGCTTGCAGCCTTGAGCCTGTTCCCCGAGATCTGTTCGCAGTGCTCAGGCGGCCTCAAAGGACGGACATGCGATGGACATGGAAGGGTGACGTGAGGTCGCCTGAAGAGTTCATCGTCAAGGTGAAACCTGCGGCAGCATACACAGCACCATGCAACACGGGTCGAAGCGGAGATCAGCATGTGACAGCAACAGTGTCGGGCAAAGCGCTGAGATGACTCGCTCTAAATGCACTTCCGTCCGAATTCCGCGTCATTTCTTCACGGCCTCCAGTTGATCCCATGTTGGACAACTTGCCAGTGCCCCCGAGGTTGCTTTGTGCACCTGACATGGCCCATCATGGCCCATGACTCACTAAAGCAGACACAAAGCCTGCTGCTTTCTGCCTGTGCTGGGGCGGGACCCCGCCGTGCCCAGTCTTGTCCCCGTCAATGGCCTCTGGACAAGAGGCAGAAACAAAAGCCATGGAATCATAGACGTGTGGCGACCTCGGGCCTCTTTGCACCTTAGCTCCAGGCCTGACACCGGTGCCTGGCCGCATCTTCTGCCTGGCCTTCTCGTCAGCCATCGCCTGTGCATGGCGCACTTCTATGGCGGTCTCAGAAGCCTTCAGAACCCACCTTGAGCTGGGCCAGCGCGGCCTCCGCAATCTCGGCTGCTTGGCCTGCAATAACTGGCTGGGAAGTCTCCTTCGTTTCGGGGCAGCTCCAGCCTTCAACTTGAGCCATGCCATTCAGCAGGTTCGCAGCCTTCACAATCCAATATGCCGTTTCGCTGCAGTCTTCAGTGAAAATTTAGTAGCTCTGCCTCCTTCCTGACCTCGGCACTCTTGTTCTCCGAGGCCTGCGAGAGAGCGCCCCTCCACGGCAACTCGGACGGTGCCGACCGGACCCGCCTTGAGAGCATACTCCGCCAGGGCGTTCCAGGTCTCTGACGACCAGCCAGAAGCGCGATCCTGCACTCGCTTCACCTGGGGCGGTCTAAAGCGGCCTGGCCGTGAAACTTCGGAAGCCGACTTGAGGGTCATGCCATTTGACCGAGCAGCTGCAGGCGCGGTCCAGCGCTGCGGTCGCTACCTCAAGGCCCCGCTGCTTCTTATGCTGGCTTGATCTACGCGTTTTGCTCAGATGTACCGGGCATGATACCATTCCGGTCAACGGCTGTTTGTGATGCACATGTCCACGCGCTGCCTGGGTCAAAGTCGGTCTATCGAGGGCACGGGAGCTCTGACTTGTTTCAGGTTGATCTTTGAGAGGGGAGCCACTTGCAACGCATTGCACGACCATCTCGCTCAACGCGTTGCCGTGCAAGGCTCCCACCTCTGCTTGATGCTGCTCGCGTGGGCTCTCGACTTTGCTGCTCCCACCTCTAAAGTGGTCTCCACCGCCTTCTGCCTCACCTGAGCGCGGGAGAGCGCTGAGCGCTAAGCCTGGCCGCCGGCAAGTGTCCCTGCCTTCTGGCTGGTGTCGAGCAGCCGCGCGAAGAGCTGCGGAAGCAAAGGCTCCAAGAAAAGTGGCGCGATGTACAGTGGCACCTGGGATGCACTGTTCTCATTTTTAGGCGTTGCTTTCTGTTGTTGGCTTCTGTCTTGGCTTCCCACATGGCTGCAGATCAATCGGAGCAGATCGGCAGCACCCACAAAGACGGCCGTCACCGTGTCTGACAGTAAAGCCAACAGCTGAGCCTCTGATGTCGGGACGACTTCCGTTATCAAGCTGGACAAACTTGGCACTGGCCTGCAGCATTGAAATTCTGAGCCCCGACAGCACCTGCATTTCTCACAAATGCGAAGCGAAGACGGCCATGCTTTGCGAAAAGCCGAGGGGCCAACATATTGAGACAGAAGTGGGCCTGTGGCGCCAGCCCCCTCGGCATCCTGTCGTAGCAGTCTGCTGTTATCCCGTCTGTGCAGAGATTTCGACTATACATCTTATACAGTACTTCACAACTTGGGACGGTCCGCCAGGCACTTGACACCGCTGCCAGCTGTTTGAAGCTCCGAAGCCAACTTGCTGATGCTCTCCGCCCGCTCCTGCTCGTAGCTTTGAACTTCGTACCACAACGCTCACCGATTGAACACTCTCTGCACTGACCACCTGCCAGTTCTTGCTTGAGAAAGACTGACTGAAGGCCTCGCATCAGGACAGTTTCAAAACATCTCTGGTAAACTGCCCGAGCCACCCATTATCAGATGTCGTGGCAACCGGTGCAAGCAAAAGTAACAGCATCGACGACGACAAAGTGGCCGCATAATCACGTATGAGAAGACATCGAGAGCTTGTTGCTATGGAACCGCAACGGAAGTAGCAACGGAGGCAATTGGCCTCTGCCGCTCCGTCATCAGCGCCGGTTTGCTCGGAACCGTCGGTCGGCGCCGCAGGCGGCCTCTCACCCAAAGTCGATGTTCGTACAGATCTTGCAGTCAGACCCGAGCCAGCACGCTGTGCCGCAATTACCTTCGACCTGCATTGCCTAGCAACCTTACTTACATGGCAGCCATGCGATAGTGCTTCTTCGGTAATTGTACCTGTCGCCTATAACTATTCAGCAGCTGTTCCTGAGAGTCGCTGCACCGTCGATTGTCCGAAGGACATGCAAGATGTCTCCAAGCAACTTGATGAATCATGTGACTTACTGCTTGCCAAATCACGAGAATGCACACTAAATACTGCCAACCATGCAGCACGCATCATGAGCATCATCCAAGTGACGGCTTTCCCGTCCTCTTCTTCCGCAGCCTTTCACTTGCATCTGAATTCCCTCCAAAATCACGAGAGTACGCACTGAATGGCTGCAACCATGCAGCACGCATCATAAGCATCATTTGGGCGACGGCTCTCCCGTCCTCGTCTTCTGCAGCCTTTCACTTGCATCTGAATTTCTTCCCAAAATCACGAGAGTGTGCACCGAATGGCCGCAACCATGCAGCACGCATCATAAGCATCATCCGGGTGACGGCTTTCCCGTCCTCTTCTTCTGCAGCCTTTCACTTGCAACTGAGTTTCTTCCCAAATCACGAGTGTGTGCACCGAATGGCCGCAACCATGCATCACGCATCATGAGCATCATCCGGGTGACGGCTTCGCGTCCTCTTCTTCTGCAGCGTTTCGCTTGCATCTAAATTTCTTCACTTCCAAGATCACGAGTGTGCCAGCTGATTGGCCGCAACCATGCATCACGCACCGTCCTCTTCTTCTGCAGCCTTTCTCTTGCACCTGAATTTCTTCCCAAAACACGAGAGAGCGCACTGAATGGCCGCGACCATACAGCACGCATCATGAGCATCATCCGGGTGACGGCTTTCCCGTCCTCGTCTTCTGCAGCCTTTCACTTGCAACCGAGTTTCTTCCCAAAATCACGAGAGTGCGCACCGAATGGCCGCAACCATGCAGCACGCATCATAAGCATCATCCGGGTGACGGCTTTCCCGTCCTCTTCTTCTGCAGCCTTTCTCTTGCAACTGAGTTTCTTCCCAAAATCACGAGAGTGCGCACCGAATGGCCGCGACCATGCAGCACGCATCATGAGCATCATCCGGGTGACGGCTTTCCCGTCCTCGTCTTCTGCAGCCTTTCACTTGCATCTGAGTTTCTGCCCAAAACACGAGAGTGTGCACTGAATGGCCGCAACCATGCAGCACACATCATGAGCATCATCCGGGTGACGGAGTTCCCGGCAGCGACATGTTGTTACATCTTCTTTCACCGGCAGCGACGTAAACAACAAGTGCATAGTGCTTCAACGACAAAACGCCTCAACTAGTACGTACCCAGCTTCTTTCCCCCTGCATATCCCCGGCCAACAACTCATCCAAACAGCGATTCTGACGATGCTGCATCTTCGGGATGCGTGGTCACATTAGTCGTTTACGGACACATTCGGGGCACAGCGCGAGTGGGAATGAGCTGCCAATCGGGTGCTATGAACCCTCCTTCACTCGGCCGCTCTTAGGAGCTCGGCAGCGCCTGGCAGTCTCGGCCTCGAACTCTGACAAGGGGCTCACAAACAACAAAAAACACAAAAGTGCGGTCCCCCCCTTTTTTTGGGTGCCAGACGACTTCCTGGCCAGCCTGAAGACTGACCCAGACCTGGGATCATCCGTGCACTTCAGTGGACTTCTGACTTTGGCATGGGGTTGCACCTGCTGGTTCAGCTCGGATGCACAGATGAAGGAACCTTGCGGGGAAGCACCGCACTTCAAGGCTCGGCAGCCTGAGTTGTCGAATGTTGCAACAGCTGGAATGTTGCTGTGCCTGCACGACTATCTTCTGCCACAATGTCCTGCGAGACAGCTGGGTTACGAAAGCGAGCTCATGCAATCGGCAATCACGTGTTGGACTTCGCATGACTTGTCCACACTTCTCCATTCAGGTCTGAAGAGCTTCCTACCCACGTGCCCGTGCCTCCTTGGCCGCCGCATCCTCGTCGCACGCCACCTTTGAGCAACACGAGACGCGGCTTCGCAAATGGCGAAAGGTGACACCCCCAGCATCCCCCAGCTTTGAGATCCTGACTGCTGACGAGAGTGCGATGCCCTCGTGGCCCGAAGCCAAGCTTTCGATGCGCTTCCGGGCCTCGCACATGCACACGATACGGCTCAGATGACTGTCATGGCAAATCCGGTGAGGCCTTGGAAGGAAGCAGGCTCCACAACCGCTCCTCCATGCCTCCGCTTAGCGCCTGCCCAAACTTCCGCTGAACATTGATTGACTTGACAGTTTTATGGACTCTCAACTAACACCATCGATGTGCGCACCAGCAGCTGCAGCAGGCAGTCGCCCGATGCTGCCCGGACTTTCGAGTGCTCCGTGCTGCATGCGAGGAGCAGCAGAGGTAGCACCTTTGTGGCAACCCGTCCGACATCATCTGATACATCATCGCCAGCTGAAATCGCAAAATCTAAGGTTAGCTCGATAGCACGCCGAAATAGGCCAGATTGCTGCAAGCCAAATGAGTTCAGCATGCGACCCAGCAACCTTGCACATCTGAGGTTAAGCTTCTCAGCGGCGTGCGACTGTTGAGTTAGACTGTCTCGCAATGTCTCGCAACTCCCATCTGTGACGGGCGGCTTCAAGTTGGCTGCCAGACACTTCGGCGTTTTGGCCTGCTCTGACCGGTCCTGAACAGAAGGATAGTGCTGTAAGTCAGGCAACATTCCCCAAAAAAACGTCTGCGTCCCAATCCTTGGACCCTTGGATCGATCGAAGTCGCTCTGCGATTCGAGACAGCAAAGGCCAAGCCGCTTCGTCCAAAGGTACCTTCAGCTTCAACTGGCTCCGTCGCTGCAGTGCTTAGACTCTCAGAGGTTTCAGGATTGCACTTGGATTGGCAGAACCCGAATGATTTGCGGTTTGCACGGCCTGGAGCCGAGCTACGAAGGCTATGAGATGCTAATTTGCTAATTATGAGATGCTATGAGACTGACTAGCTGACTGCTCGCCTTCCTGGCTGACTGACTGCAAGACTCTACGAAGCCGCTGTAGCTGCGTGCAACCTCATGCAGCCTCGACAGTACACGAGCTCCCGGCGCGACCATGAAGCACGCAGGAACACAGGGCCGTGGCAGCTGCCTTGCAGCCCAAAATCCAGTATATGAATGCATGAGACTATACGGGTTTGTATGGGTTTGTCAAGTGCTCCTGACGTCGTGGGGTTAAGTGATGCACCTGCTGGGGTGAGGTAGCTTTGCTCGAACCACCACCCACATCGGTCTTGTCCAAAAGAACCGCCACAAGATTCTCAGGGTCCGAGTCCTTGCATGCGACGGCATGAGTGCCCCACATCTTTTCCAAATCAAGGCCGATACCTCGGCCGAGACCTCGAAGTGCAGCATTCTTGGAAAGTCTTCTGTGCCTGCCACACGCCAGTTACGCCACATATCGCCACACAGCACTACGTTCAGCTCTGCTTCGCAAAGGTCCAGGCCGATATCATCAATACGCGCATCGGACAAGAGCTCTTCTAAGGTGCCGAGTGCCGCGTGAAACACCTGCCGTGAACTTCTTCTCAATCTTCCGTGCGCCGGTTCACTTCAGCTTTTCATGCCTTGGGCATCTTGTCCTTGGCAGCAATGCGTGTCGCCTGCGAGTCCCAAGCTTCGACAGGATACACGATGTCTGCGACTCCACGTCAGCCTCGCTCACAGCTCGCACCAAGTCTGTAGCATCAGCTTTCACCTTGCACCGGGTCTGATGCCCTACACTCCTGGCTCTCTTGCAATAAGTTGTAGGGAACAGAATTCACAGCACTTCGTGAGAGTAGGAAGCGCCTGGGCAAAGTTTTGGTGGACATAGGTATGGGCCTGTGCATAGGGCCGTGCTTGCGGTGCACGCCGGAAAGCTCTGAGCTACTCGCTGCGCCTCGAGTCGGTCACGCCACTGTTCACAGAGCATGGCATCGTGAACCTGCAGCGGCTGCAGCGTGCATCGGCTCAAGCTGCCATGTGCGATGGCGAAGAGGTCTTTGGCTCGGCGCACCATGGGGCCGAAGACGCAGTCGAGCAATGAGTCCGTCGCTTCGCGGGGCTCCCACTCTTCTCGAAACCTCGGAAACAAAGGGAGGAGGGAGAGAGAGGAAGAGAGTCACAGAGAGCGAGCCAGAAAGAGGGCAAGAGGAAGGAAGAGAGAGAGAGAGAGAGCAGAGCTACGACGGCTGACGGCTGGGTCCCCCGACGCCTCGAGAAGCTCCTGATCTTCGGGGGCCTCACTGGAACTGACGTCAACTTGTCAACTTCAGACGTCAGGACGACTGGTGACAGTCTGATAGCAGCCTCCGTCTCTGCCGCACTGTTCGTCAATGGCGGCAGCTGTCCCTCAGACCGCGCTATATGCAAATGCGAAGTCTGGAGGTGGGGGCCACTACTGTCGCCGACTACTAGCCTTCATCATCTGCTTGCGCCGTGCTGGAGTGGATGGAACGCCTGCGCGGTTCAGAACCCAGTGGAGGCTGCACTCCTAGAAGGTGTGTGGCAGGGTCAGCAGAAACTGCGAGCACTGCCGAAGCCGCAGTGTCCCTCACACTACTTCCAGCATGACGCAAGTCCAACATCCGTTCAAAGGTATGACATGGGATGACAATCCATGTTAAAGCGATGCTGCTTTTGAGATGCAGACTTACGACGATCTTCGATGTGAGCCGTCGCTGCTCGAAACCGATGACTGTAAGATGTGTGCAAGGCTAAGTGGTGCAGAGCGTGCAAATTTGCTGCCATCCACATCATTCTTGATACTAATCCAGGAAGGCCGCGAACCGAACTGCAAACCGGAACCGTCCACCCCTGCGAACCGCAAAAACCGCTGAACCGACACACAACATCGAACCGAGCGAACCGAATACACCATCCAGCCGCCCTCCGGGTACTCCCCTCCAAGCCTCCATCCAGCCTTTTGTCAACCCCCCAACCTTCCATCCACCAGCCCTCCATCCAGCCCAACCCCCTGGAGGGAGGGCTGATGGACCGAAGGCTGGATGGAGGCTGGTGGATGGAAGGTTGGAGGGGGCCGGAGGGCTGAATCTTTTTCCAACCACTCCCCACCCAGCCTCTCCATCCCGCCAGCAAGCCCCCCTCCGTCCAAACTCCCTTGTTCCATCCACTCCACCCGAACTGCTGTTTTCATTCAGTCCTTAAAAATAACACCATGAAGCGTTGCGGTTCGAGGGCGGCCTTCCGTATCAACGCTACAGCTTAAAAGTCTGCACTCTAAACGCTGGACCTTGCACAACCGGGGTAGGAGAGCAAAAGACATGCTGTCTGAGTCTTTCAAGGATTCGATTTAAAACTAAAGGATAAGGGTTTGGGGCTTTGGGTCTGAGAACACTTTAAAGGCGTGTAGGGGCCCTAGATTGAACCCCAATGCGGGATCACTGCGGCTGACGGGGGGCTTCTGAGATGGAGGGCTGGGAGGGGGTATGGAGGGTTGGTGGAGACAAATTGGGTGGCGAGAGTTGGTGGATGGAGGGCTGGCTGGATTGAGGGTTGGGCTGCGTGGGGATGGAAGGTTGGAGGGAGAGGGGTCTGAAACCGCAACCGAACCGAACCGCAAGAAGAACCGCAGCGAACCGCACGAATCGAAACCGAGTCAAAACCTGTCTGAGAAACCGAAACGAAACGCGGCCCTACTGCTACTCGCGCCTTATGTGCTGGATTTGCCGTGGCACGTGAGCATGTGTTGCAGGGTCGTGGATGCACTGGCTCGTCAGCATGCAGTGACGTGCAAATCCCTTCAGTGATTAGGACTATCACCCCGGAGGTTGAGGTCATAGATACGACGGCAGTGGTTGGAAGACAAGCTGTTGGAACGCAACAGTCCCATGCTTCCGGATGTTAGCTTCTAGTCCGAGAATAGCCATCCTGTGCGAAGCCACCGTGGTGGCCTGCTTCTCTTCATGAAGACCCCGACAGGCAAGACTGCCAAACATTCGTCGGTTTCGTTTCACACTGCTCGATGTTCGTGAAGCCTTTGACATTGAAAAGACGCAAGACAACTCCGACATGACCTTCAGTGTTTGTGAACTCTCCGGAGTGCATGCGCAAACTTTCATAAGGTCCTTTGATGGCCTTCGGGTAGCTGCTGCACCTCTGAGAGCAGCTCCACGAGCAGGTCGTTTCCTGCACGTTCCGCTAGTCCTCAGAGTGACCGTCACCGTTTCTCTTCGCACTCTCTTCGCTTCACTTTCTTGACTTGTGCCGAAACTTCTGCGGCGAGCCCCACGCTCTTTGCAGTGTTTCCCTCGACGTCTTCGAGCAAGGCGGAGGCTCCCCGCGACAGGAGCAGCTCGGCACCTCGCGAGAGGGCCAAGGGCGGCAAATCCCGACACATCCTAGAGCAAGAGCGGCGGACCTTCCTGGTTGCTCACTGCGGAGCACAGGTGCAGGGCGCTCCAGCCTAGACCTCTGGTCTTTCACTTCACAACTTCACAATCTACAGATGACAACAGAGGAAGCGCTTCCAAGAGACTGCCAGGAGCTGCGTTGATGTCCGCACCGTGCCTGTTAGAGCAAGGCGCAGCATCTGCCAGTTGAAGGACGATATAAGGACGTGAATAGCCAAGGAGCTCCAGCAAGCACAGCATCAGCTCGTTGTGGGCCAGCATCGCGCAAACCTGTTACTAAGTCAGGCATGGAAAGGTATCCGTCAAGTTCCCTTTCCTGACCCACCTGGAGGCATGTGCGCGACTCGTCAAGAAGGACTCTGGCGGCGCTGTCCTCGTTTTCCTGGCACATGGACCGAATAGCTCAAGCCTGGAGCCCTTGATTGTGCGTGATGACGCGACCTCCTCACTGACCGGACGTACAGGAGACGCGCGCCCCGCTAGGTTCGAATCTGTGGCAAAATGACGAATGGGCAACTCGGCTTGGACTGCGCTCGATTGACTTTGGGCAGATCTTTCTTTGCCTGCACCCGCTGCCAGAAGTAGCTTTGCAAGGGTCGCGGCACCCATCAGACAAGCCTTGCAGACAAGGGGGAGCATACCGTGCAGACATCACAGGGTGCGGATGAGTCCAACTGCCTGGTAGAGCGGTGACCGCCCATCCTCGTCCAGAATGTTAATGCGACCTTCCATAAGACCAAGTTCGCGCGAGCAAGCGAACGCACGGATCGACAGGCAGGCGCATGACGATACAATAAATGATGTGTACAGCGTACACCAGGGGTGGAGATTTTTTTTTGACCCTTTTATTTTTTTTTGTTGGCACTCTTTTTTTTTTTTGGGGGGGGGGGGGGGGGGGGGGGGCGGGGGTGGGGGCGGGGCTAGGGGTTTCGGGCTTAGGGGGGAGTTCCCTACGTTCCCTGGTTTCGGGTTTAGGGGGGAGTTCCCTACGTTCCCATAGGAAAACTTCTAGTTTGTTTATATTTCCCTAGTATAAAACCTATCTTGTATCTAGTTTTAAGGTGGAAAACCAGGATTTTCTCGATATGTCCATATCTACATCCATAGACCTGTATTTGTCTATGTTTACTTCTACGTTTACGCAGGAAAACAAACGAGTGAAGTTGTTTTGGGAGCATTTATCTTATTTCTCTCTATTTGGTGTTCATTGTTTTTCTTTGGTTCGTTGTCTTGGTTTTTCCTAGGAAAACCAACAATGTATAGCTTCGTAAGATTAATACCACTTTTTGAAGGAGTTCCTATGAATTCTTTCGTTTTGATTCGTTTACTTGGTTTTCCACGGAAAAACAAAATTTCTTATATCTTTTCATGAGATTAAATAATTGCTTTGTTTTTGGTTCGTTTTCTAGGTGTTTCCCGGGAAAAATCAACATTTCCCACATGAGAATATGCCTCTGGTTTAGGGTTTAGGGTTCTCTCTGGGTTTTGCTTCTTGCTACGCATCGATGCCTCCATGCCTGTGGAAGGTGGTGCCGAGTTGCAATCCTGCGCGCGTGCTGCATCGTTGATTCATAGCTTTGATCGGGCATGGGTGACCTGCAATGCCATCAATGAAGTCCAGTGTTGCGCAGGTATCAGTGTATATACGATTACGTTCCTTTTTTCTTCCATCCTTCCTTTCTTGCTTCCTTCCTTGTTTGTTTTCTCCTTCCTTTCTTCCTTCCCTCCTTCCTCTCTTCCTTCCTTCCTTCCTTCCCACGGAAGGGCAAACAAAAAAAAAGGGCCCAAAAAAAAAAATCAAAGGGTAAAAAAAAATTGGGTCCCCTACACCAGCCACCCGCATGCATCATGCGCAAGTGATTGCAAACATTGCCGCCAACACGTCATTCCCTAAGCTTTGGCCTCCGCGTGCCAGGACCGCTTCGACCGCCGGCGCCTTTTGAGTGCAGAGCAACGCTCTCTGCTCTCCGGCCCTCCACGTCTCTGAGATTTTGCCTCACCGCCGATGACGGCGTGGAAGAGCGCGTTGCGCCCGGCCGAATCGACTAAGTCCACCTATGCAGATTCGTGCTTATGAAATTTACGACTGACAGCGGTCCAACATGCTCTCCCCACCGAAGCACCGCCCTCCAGGAGGAGCCCCGTCACCTGTGGCCGCAGTAAAGCTCGCTCTTGGTGCTGGGTGGGTGGGTTCGCCTGCCTCTGGGCGAGCCACGGCCTGCATCAACGCGCTGCAGCCGGCCTCCAAGCGAATCGCAGGGAATCGGAGGCCCCGGCTGCCTCGAGCTCCGTCTGTGCCTTGTCTGAGAGATTCGGGTTGGCTTTGGCCGCCAGCAGCAGAGCCCTCAGCAGCTTTGAGGCTCGCAGAGGGCAGCTCCAGAAGGGGTGTTCAAAAATGCGACATGCTCAAAAGAGGAATGAACAAAATCTGACGTGCAAAAAATGTGTTTCTCTCTTCCGCTCTTCCTTGCAGTCGAAGGAATTGAGGTCGACGGGTTTCGCTATGACTTCGTGCGTACGCGTGGCCCGACTGAAAAAAACATGCCTACATGTCCTGATGCGGTGCTATCTCCGACACTTGGTGTTCGTGAAGAATGGCAAGGAGCATTACACGGAAGTCTGTCTGAAAGCTGCTGAAAAGACTTTACTTGCTTTGCTGAGCCCGGACCGAAGCCTTGTCGAAGGATGACCTCCTAGATCCAGCACACAACGCTTATTTCCCAATTGGGGTGCTTAAAGACGACATGCCAGTGGCAGTGAGTCCTCAGTCAGTAAACCCTGAGGAAGCAGACTGAGAGCAGCCACCTCTCGCGGACCCTTTGTACAGTGCCAGCGGCACTGGGGCTGCAGTCTCTTCGCAAGCAAGATTGTACGCTCTGAAGCTGTTGCTTGATTATCTTGGAGTTCTGCTCTATCGTGGAATTGATCTCAGACTTGGCCTTCTTGTAGTGTTTCAACTGTGCCAAAAGGGCACTCGCTGAACTTGTGTCTCGTCATGCCGCTCGCAGCTGATTGCATCGCATTCGTGTCCAAATCATTGGCAGCTTGGGACTCCGTGACGCTGTGCGACTTTGGACGAACCCCAATCCCTTGTCACCTGACGGCGTGCCTTCGCTACTCATACTTGGAAAGTTTAGCGAGACTGCGAAGCAGGTGTCGCTGTTCCAGGACATGCTTACCTATCCTTTCGAGTGACTCCGGAGATTCTCCAGGTTTTGGCATGGAAGGGGGCTGATGAGGTATTTGTTCGAAGCACATCCTGTTTACTCGTTATTTACAGTACTTTCGTGATGTTGTAGTCCAATACCAACGATGATGATGGTGATGATGATGACCATGATGTTGGGCTTGGTCGCTCGTGCTCCACTGGCCATCCAAGCGAATAAGCGTGAGATCGTCGTCCACGCAAGCTTTGCTGTGAACGCTTGCTTCAGAATGTGCTCCAAACCACTGTAAAACGAATGAAACGCCCCATCACAAGTGACCCCTCTCGAGGATCAGCTCTTCCTTCTAACACGCTCCCCGAGCAAATATGTGCTGACACCACAGTCTCGCGCACTATTGAGCCGCAACTATGTTACCATGTTCAAGCCCAAAATGCTCGAAGCTGTCGCCCTCAGTATTCGCAGAGGTGATGTCAGGATGCAGGAAGCGCTCCAAGCGTGCGGCACTCCCTCTGCCAGGCCACGTTTGGAGGCCAGCACTGCGCAAGTGTGCAGGCTGTAAGTGGTTCGAAACTGGCAACAGATCTCGTCCCAGGGCGCACTGAGAGCAGTAGTGCCGTGTTCTGTCTGCAAGTCCAACTCGACGGCGTGGCTCGTCAACCACTTCCTCAGAAGTCCGAGATCAAAACTGCAGAAGCTCTGCCACTGGAAATGCCACTGAGCTGCATCAGCTGCAAGTTGCCACTTAAGGCCTGCGGTGGCGCTTTCTGAACAAATCCAAGCTTCAGCTCTGCTACGCGTGGAACAGTTTCACTATGTTCCTACTGATGCTCTTCACCTGGGTTCAAAGGCACGAGGTGAAACTGGGTGAGACCCGGGAAAGACGGCACACTTGCCATGAAGCTGCACGGATATCTCACCAGCATCTTGCCGGTGTGAGCTCTGCGTGTCAAGCTTGCAGACCCGCATGTCATCCTGAGTCCTGAGGCACTGCTGATGACAGTGACCAATGACCCATGACATGTCTTGACACGATCCTGGGCTCTGAGCTCTCGACACTCCTCACCAGCCCACACGAAGCTTCGGAGGATCTGGACGTCGAGGAGTCCTCTCCGGCTACGGGCCGCGACGCCGCCCTGAGCTTTCCCGTCGCTTCGCTTCGCCTGGCCGAGCGGAGGCCCTCGGCAGCCGCCTCGAGCGGCTTCAGCTTCCCCTTCACCAAACACTGCTCCTCGCAGCTCCCCAGCTCCCTTTCAGAATTTCGCTGAGAGCGCTCTGCTCCGTCGCTAAGTGATACTCACTGTCCTCGACTTCATCCAAGTCCTTGCTCTCAAGTCAAGGCTCTTGCACAGTCTGGGTACGTCTAAGATGTGCCACAAGACTCGTCACTCGTCCTCGTGCGGTTGCAATCGACATCGGCGGCGCAAGCGGCGGAGTTGCCGCATCTGAAAGAGAGCCGAGCCCTATATCACCCTGCCTCCGCTGACCCGAGTGGCTGGGGCGCGGGTCGCCTCCTTGCGTCTTCGTCCGTGTTCTGCTCCAAGCTGGCTTCGAAGCTGGTCGAGCTCCATGTCCACGATCTGCATCTCTGAGTCTGATTAAACATAACTAAGTAGACATGCTGACCAGAGTTCAGAGTCTCTATAGACGGCTCGATAAAACAGAGCAGTGAAAAGCTCGACCTCCGCAGGCTTCCTGATCTGATTTATGGGGCAGAAGCGCAACCGTTCCTTCCAGCTCATGGGAAAAGCAGGAAACTTCTGATTCCACGCAGCAAGTCGCATTCCTGGGGCAATTAAACTGACTGAACCCTTTTTGGATCACGCTTCACCGCTTTGCTCTCAGCCGCGGGGTGCGTACCAGTTCACTCGACCCCTCGGCTCGGAGGGACCGCGTCGCTTCTTCGCGTAGCGGATCCCGCGCTTCAGTTGAACCTCCTTGCCGTCCTCCTCCACCGGGCAGTAACCGACCGGGGTGAGAACAAGCTTTGGGGCCACAACGTGGGCAGGAAGAAAAGTGCCCAAAGCCTTGACCCGTCTGTTCCAGTTGATTTTGCCAGCTCGCTTGGCCAAGTGTTCCTGGCGTTGAACATGCCGATCCATCCATGCCTGGAACTCTTCCGAAAGGCCCTGCACCGTATCTCGCACCACCTGAGCGTCTGCACCGAAGCGGAGCAGGACCTTGGCCACTTTCTCGGAGTTCTTTTGGCCGCCCGCTAAGGCGACATGGAGCGGGGTCTTTCCATCCTTATCCCTCGCATTCACGTGTGCGTGCCCGCGAGAGAGCAACAGCTTCGCGATGTCCTCCTTGTCTTGGCCAGCAGCCATGTGCAAGGCAGTGCGCCCATCCGCATCTTTGTGCATCACATTGGCAGCCATGTCAAGTAGATATGAGAGCGGTCGCTCGAATCCCTTGGCTGCAACTTTCTGCAACAAGCTCGTCCTCAAATCATCGCAAGGCGCATCGACAGCTTTGCGAACATCAGGGCCACGTGGCAAAGTCTTTAGAGACCAGATGTGCCTGGCGCAGTCGAACTCCTGGCCCTGCTCTGCTGCCGCGAAAGCACTCGCTACAAGCTCTTGCGGTCTGGGTGCCGCTCTCAGCGCTTCCACTTCGTCCGAGGACAATGATGGGCTGGGGTCTCGAGAGTTGCATCTGAGAGCGACTGACACTGGAAGCTTCTCCATGCTTCTTCTTGCTGCAGCAAACTTTGAAACAGCTTCCTGCCGATCTCGCCAGAGTGGTGTCTGTGTACCAACCCACCTGGCGAACTGGCAGAGCCGCAACGGGCGGCTGATTAATCTGCGCATCGCGCTTCAGTGAGAGATCAGCACGACTGGCATGGCTAGCAATACATGAGCAAAAGCCGCTGCGGGACTCGAAAGATTCTCACAACGCCCAGCTCCATACACAGTTCTCGATGCTTCTGCCATCTCGCACGGTCCTTGATGCCATGCTCGATCGCATTCCTGAGCTGCATTCGTTCTGATACGATGCTTTCCTATTGGTAGCAGGAAACCTGAAGAAGCTTACACGAACGCTTCATGTTGATGCTTGCATCATCTCTTATCAGAGGGACTTCTTGCCGCCTCCCATGCGGAGATATGGCGGCGGCCGCGTCTTCCTCTTGGCCTGTAGACAGTTCGCGCGCTCTTCTGTTGAGAGCAGCGTAGAGAAGCGTTTCCAAGATCTTGCGGCTGAGGGGCTGGAAGCGGAGGCACTGGCGGCGCTGGCCTTGGTCATTGCGACAGGCAAACAGCTTCAGGCGCCCTCTCAGCACAAATGAGTGGCGAGCAGCCCGCTGGGCGAGTCTCTCACCCGGCCTAGCTTCACCGTCGCCACGAAGCCACGCCAGATGCATTAGGTGACATATCTGCAACACATCGCTGCCTGCAGCTGGTGCCGTTTCCTCGCAGTGGAAATTTGATCTCTCAGCCTACTAGTATGGCTTAAGCATCCTTAAGCTCTGACAGGTATCCTCGAACAGCTCGTTCCATCCAATAGCAACATCATCATAAAACTCCGCTTCCACGCAAGACCTGAAAAGCTGCTCGTGGCGATATTCCCACATATTCCGAACAACATGACCTCCTCGGATATGCCATCTATATGCCTCATTGGGTGCCAAAGCCTGGTTCCGAACCACGGCATTGGCTTGACGTGAGGTGGTACAACGCAACGGCTCGGCCAAGCTGTGAGGGCCGACGGGCTGTGCAGTGCAAATCCTGAGGATCCTCTGGCGGTTGGGGCCCCTGCGATCTCACGCCTTGGGCCGACGCGGCAATCCGCTTGCACGGCAAATCGCGGCAAGCCTCCCGAGCTCGGCCGCGGACGTGCGCGCATGGTGGGCGCACGCTGGAGTGATGCCTCCGAGGAGAAAAAAGCCGCGGCGTGAAAAGTCGCAGGAAGGCTGCGACAGTCGCTACTCCGAGGCCGCGGCCCGAGCCAACTCGGCCATGGCAGGGCGGCCAGCGCAGAGCGAAATTTCAACCGATCCGCGTCTTTGGCGTACTTTTTACCCATCACGAATCCGACTTGCTGGGTCCTTTTCTGGATCTCTGATGCTCTGCTTTGCAATCCGATGCAATCCGTTTCTGCCTAGCGGAGGCCATGCGCACACCATGAACCGGAAAGAGACGGCTGACGGCACATTACAGCACCTCGCCCTCGATCTGAACCGATATGGCAGGGGCGCGGGGCCAGGCGGGGGCTCACCGCGCAGTGAAGCGCCCCGACGCCACGGGTGTCCAGAACACTGACGTCGGCCTTGGCCTTTGCAGATCGAAGAAGACTCCGCCTCTCTCCCGACCGGACCATCAGAGCACGTTGCCGCTACAAGCATCTCCAAGAAGTCACTGTTGGCACCGCCCAGCACCGCTGCTAGAAACGGTGTGAGGCCTCGGCCCAAGCCGCAAAGTGTGAACCAGCAGGGAGTCTCTTTGACAGCCAGGTTTTCTAGGACTTTTTCCTGCCATTGAGTAAGTCCAGTGCCGTTGGAGTCGGCACAGTTTGGGTTCGCATCTGCCTGGAACCAATTTTTCGAAGTTACCCGCCGTCAAAAATCCGACTTCTAAGTCTGCTCGCCTTCAGCAGAAAGGAAGCCATGGAGGCGTCCCCCTTGCGACATGCAATGGCCAGCGCGGTTTCGTTCCGCGCATTCGGAATGTCGACCTGCACACGCTGACGCACTGTAGCGACCTGTGGCGACATGGTGTCAGGACTCTGAAGGCCTGCACGAGGCCGACATCCAGAAGCAAATGTGCCACCTTGACATGAAAACCACAAGCCGCTTGAAGTATCCAGTGCTCGGGACTCTTCGGTAAACCCAAGCTAAACCCTCGTCGTGCACCTCTATGTGAGAACCGTGCACGGCATGATGAAGGACCGACTCCCCATACACATCGAAGAGTGCCTGCCGTCAGCGGAGAACCACGGCGAAACTGCAGTGGATGCCTCTTCCGTCGCTCCTCCTCGCAGTCGCCGAGCCCCCTGGGGCCAACCACTTTCTGCAGGAATGCCTGACGCGAACAGGAGTGAAGGACAGAGCGAGGAAGTGAATCGTTCGAAGTGCAAAATGTGCAAAGAAAAAAAGAACACCACGAACACCTTGACTGCATCTTCGTTCCCACTTCGGCAGGCAGCTGGGAGCTCCTGCGAGATTGCTCCTCAAGCCCCACTCTGAAAAACTTGGAGCACTGAACCTCGGGAGCCAGCTGCGCCACTGTTTCGCTCTCCCTGACCTCCTGCATGTTGCAGACATTGCAAACAGATTGCATGTGGTTTCCAAGTTCCCGATCTCCAGCTCTAGACGGCCTTCTTTCTCACTTGCCTGCATGTCCGTTGACTGGAGACCGAGACATTCCATGGCTAGCTCTATGACTTCAATCGGAGGCATCACCGGCTGCGCATGGCAGGCTATTGTCGCTCACAAGCGGCGGCCGCGACGTCCACATTTGCGGCGGGTGCAGTCCGTAGGGATGGGGGTCACGTCCTGCAGGGCGGCTCACAAGCTCACAAGCTCACAGCCCACACAGCCCCCAGCAGTGCCCCCCCAGCAATCTGTCTCCTCGATGCGGCCGATCTTCATCCCGGAGCGTGCCAAGGCTCGGAGGGCGCTCTGCGCCCCTGGGCCGGGCCTGGGAGAATCGGAGACTCCCACCTCTCTCCGAGCCTCTCTCCCTCTTTTCTCACTCTCTTCACTCTCTTTGCGGACGTTGCTGCGTGCGGGTCTTCGTGCCACCCGTTGCCCTGAGCTTGATGTGGAGCGCACCGATGCCTCCACACCGAAAGGCCGGATCTCGCAATGTGCCCCACTGCCCGGCGGGGCCCCAATTCTCCAAATTACGGCCACGTGGCCCAGCTCCTTGCACCGCGCAGCAACATCCTGAGCAACTCAACGGCTTCATTCCTTGCGATGTCACGGAAGGTCTGCGCTGTCTGCGTCCTGCGCTGCCAACATGGCTGCATACGGAGATGACTCATCGCGGTCGGCCTCCCAACTCCCAACGTCATTCTGTGCACACGTTTCATCAGGATGGCAGCAACCGTGCAGCAGACGCGCCTTCACTTTCATCCCACCCGTGACACGCATGATCGTTTCGCGTCCGGACAGGTCCGTCACATGAACGAAGGTGTCGTTGAAGGAAGCATAGATGTGCGCGACGCCGAACACGATCTGCAAACTAAAGCTTCCGCAGACGTAGGATGCAATGCGTGCAATGCAGTGGGTCCACAGCTGCAAATGCTTCCTGCCTCACCCTCGCGCACTTGAGGCCCAAGAGACACTGCCTCAACTTGCTGCCTGGCCTGGCATGCTGGGCTGTCATCAGTGAGCTTGCATGCTTTGAACGTTTCAACATCTGGGCCTTGGGTGGCATGGTGTCTGGTTTGTAGACAGGCTTAGTGTACCCCTCCGCTGAGCCGAGAGGCACACGGCCAGCACCAGACTTCAGAGACGCAAGCAACTCATGGTACATCGATGGCAGCGCGCGGAAGCACAGCAGAAGCACAAGCTGCTCTCCTCCGGAGCCGTTCTGGTTGGGACCGTCGCCTCGCTTTGCGATGGGGACCTGGCCTGTCAAAAGGGAGGTCTCAAGTCTCATGTAACAGCAAAAGCGTGTAGAGAGTGTGTGGGGGAAAGACATGTTTCTGTTCGAGCGCAAGTGCCTCCGGCTCAACCTCCAGCTGCTCTTGCTGCGGCTTCTGCACCTGGCAATCTCGCTAGCAGCTGCCGTCACAGGCCCAATTGCTCCCGCCACCCCTGGCGGAGGCTCGTCGCGTGAGAAGCTGAAAGCATTCTCCTGCAAGGAGATGCACGCTTTGTCGTCCGAGACCAAGAGTTCAAGTCCCCAGCTCTCAGCTCGGAGTCTTCTCCGAAAAGCCCAGCGCGCCTCCTTGGCTCTCTCCTTCTCCTTGACTTCAGGATGTCCTTCTTTTGCCTTCGGCTTCGGTCTGGGCGGCCGCTTCAAGTCCTGGCACACTTCCACACTCCCCCATCCCCTCCCCGCCCCCTTCCGGGATCAGCGATCTTTTAATCAGCGCGCCTTTGGCTTTCCAGCGGCTTGAGCTTGCACAGGCTCTGCGTGCTCGGCACGCTCTGCCGGCTCTGGGGCTGAGGATGATGATGATGATGCCTTCACCTTGGCGCAGCTTTCGAGGTGTCATGGCTGGTTCCAGTGGCAGAGCTGAGGGATGGACTTCAACCAAATTCACATTCTTCTTGCTTGCACCGCTGCCCATCAGCCAGGACCTTCAAAAGTCTGCGACGTCTCGACGTGCGCTTTGGGCGTGCCTCGGGCTTGCAGGGCCTGCAAGGCCTCCAAAGGCCTCGTAGGCCTGGCCTGGCCTCTAACTGGCCGTGCTCGTTTTGAGCCCGTCCACTGCGGACTTCGCCTACAGTGCCTAGCTCGACATTGCTCAAGAGGATTCGCCAAAACTGCATACGAGGCACTGCTAGGGACAGAAAACTCCTTGCAGCTTATTGATGTCGTCCATACGGCTCCTGTCCACAATTGTAATTATCCTTAGAAACAAGATGATGAGGATGACAGCGAATCTGGTGACAATGTTGATCATGATGATGACGACGACGATACAAGCAAAACGATGAGTGCTCACGAAGCACCTTGGCATAAAGAATTCACAACAAGTACATTACATACCAGTTCGATCGCTTTGGTCTCGAACCGCCGGTTGCTTTCTGCCCACTGCAAATCTGGCACTTGGTGCAGCGCTTGCAACTCCGAGCGCTGCAAGACTCTGCAAACTGCTCGGGACATCTCGGGACAGACATACACACGCGCAAAAACTCTTGCAAATAGAAACCGCAGCTCTTGCAAGAGCATACAAACATTGGAAGCCCACATCAAGCCGCAAGGCGTTCACACGCACGGGGCACTGCAAACACGTACCCTTACTGTGATCTTCATACGACGCAATGTTTAAGGTTGCCACGACAGTGCTGCATGACAATTCGAACGTTAACTTCCGTGAGCAAACTGCACATGGTGTGCAATGATTACCCACTCATCGACCAGCATGCACACAACACAAACCCAGCATACTGACACGCCGCAACCGCCCTGGCGTAGGCCCCCGCTGCCCCCCGCCCCCCCACCCCCCCACCCCACCAATGTCTAATCGAGACGGAATGGTGATGTGTTAAAACGCGCTGCAACACGCTGCCACATCGAGCTTTTGCAAGAGCTGCCCAGGTTTTGAATGTCTTTTACTTTTGCTCGACAAAGCATCTTCCAATTTTTCTTCCGATCCACGAATCATCTATAGCTTCCTACAGTAGGAGAACCAAGCTGACACAAGCAACTCCTCCCCAGCACCCAAGTCAAGACGGAAGTCGATTTTGAGCTCGGCACCGCGATCGCGCATTGGCATACTGCAGCTCCTCTCACTTGATCGTCAGAGAGACTTGTTGTAGCCTGCTGTTCTGGGGCAAGCTCATCCAAGTCGACCAAAAGCTCTGCCCCATCGCTGAGATCGCTCCGAGGCATCAGCCAGGATCTGGATGCAGTATCAAAGCGCAGTTGAAAAAATCCTGAACCCTATCCGAACGATTGAAGATGGAACAACTCGGATCACATTGGAATCTTTGGAGAAGCTCTGAAACTAAATCATAGATAATGATGATAACAGGAAGAACCGCTCGTATTCCGAGATGATTCCGGCAGGGGATCGCCGCTGATCTATCGTTTACAGCCAGCACATGCACTGCCTCAGCTTTTCGTCAACGGCACATCTTATGCATCGACGGTCACAACGTCACAAGAACTGCTAGGTGAAACGATTTGGTCCATCAAACGCTGCTTCAGTTTGCGGTTTTCATCTTCACCTGAAGGCGAATAAGGCGATGGCAGCACAGGCTCAGGGCGCCTGCCCAGTTCGGTAACTGTCCCCAGTTAGGCAGTCAAGACCGGGCGGTTTTGAAGGCCAACTATCACTCTGCGTGGGTCCGCAGCCGGACAAGCAAAGAAGGACATCTTCCAGCTCAACCCACCCGGACACCGATCCTCTCGCATCCTCTACCCCGCATGCACTTCTCTTCCGAGTGGCGGAGGCAACAGCGACTCTGCATCGGAGTGCAGGTCCTGCAATGTAAGGACAACGGCTGTTCGAAAATCTGCCACTCTGAGACTCTGCAGTCTGCGAGACGGGCCGACCTGATGTCTCCAGTATCGTGGCATGTCCAAAGCGGCGCTGGCTGGCTTCAGGGGCACAAAGCTCTGCCTCCAGAGCACTGAGTTTTCTGCATTTTCGACGGGAGCTCGGTCTCTGAGAGCACCACCAAAGAGTGAAGCCCAAGAGCCCAGACAGCCAACAAATCCATGGCGCAAAGACCTTCGAGTCAACGCACGGTCTCTCCTTCCAAGTCTGTTTCTGGGCTTCAGGAGATTACTTTCCAGAAATTTTCGTGGTGGGGTTCGCCGATATTCCCAGCCGCTTGGCGACGTTGCAGAACAGCTCCTGTGTGAATGCGCGGGTCAGGGGCTTTGTGATCGCACCTTTCATCGCTGGTTTCATTTCAGTATCGCATTGAGTTTCGGCTCCAGGCAGTCTTCTGTTAGTGTCCGCACTGCAGGCCACTGTGTAAGCATCGGCACTGACTCCGTGCGTGTACTCCACCCCGGAAACCACCACCACCAGCGCAGTGCAACCACCAACGACACTTTTCGACAATCTCGACACAGTCCACTGAGCTACTAAACTGGGGCGAAGTGCTCGGACAAAAGTGCCCACGAATGTACGCCCGGCAACTCCTCCCTCAAATGGCTGAACTTCCAAGCCCCCGGCGCTTTGATTCAGCAGCTTCGATCGCCTCTGGGTGCAGTCCTCCACCTTGCAGCGGAGCTCTTGCGAAGACACTGTATTCCTGGTGTGGTACGCAGCATACCAGACGAATCAGTGAACGATATGAGTACGTACCCACACGTCGTCCACAGTGGGCCAGCCTGTTCGTGCGCTCGTTGCCGAATTCGGTGCCGCCTGGTTACAGCTTGCCATCGGTTAACCGTTTCAGAAAATGTGGACTGGGAGAACTACCAAGAACCGGAAATACACCGATCATCCCACCACTGAAATGACAATCTGCACTGAGCCTCCATGAACGGTGCAAACCCATGAATTTCATGCCGGATCTTCCAAAGAGAACGCAGCCCCCTCAGAGCCGCACAACTTGCGCGACAGGAGTCGGGTCCATTGCCCCTACCAGGTTGGATTTTGTGCACGAGCATGTTGGCTCAGTACCGGCAGCGACCTCCTCCACAATTCAAGCGTCCAGTACCTCGAAGGCACTTTGCGAAGGGCCCGCAGCTCTCCGCGAAGCTCACAGGTTTAGGGGCCTTTGGGGCTCGGCAGCCGACCCACAAGCACATGGCAACAAAAATGCTGGAATGTAAGATCCGCGCAATCACTGGCAGAGCCAGCAACGTCCAGGTTTCTGCGGCCAGGGGCGACTCATGGTGGGAGGCATTCGATCCAGGGGACACACAACTCCTCGACCTGCTACTTGCCTCCGCATGTCCGTCTACCTCTTTACATATCGAAATCTTTCTTTCGCCAGGGCTGTGGTGTAGGGGCTTTACCCCCATATCGAAATCTCTCTCTCTCTCTCCCGGGCATAGGGGTCGGTCAGGACTCCGGGCATAAAGCCAACCCGCATGCGTTATGCAGGTAAACAGGGTCTGAGGAACGAGCATAACTTCTCCACAGGCATAGACATATTACACATCTATGCATCTGTCTCTATCTCTCCAGCTCTCCATGTCTGTATATTTCTTTTTCTTCATGCAGCCGAGCAGTGGGAACTTATGGAACATCCCGGTCCTTCTTGAGCGAGAAGGCCGCCGGACGAAGGTCATGGCAGGATTTTTAAATGGATTTTTGTGTGATTTATGTCCAATACCCAGCAATCAATACCCAGCAGCGTTGGCTGCTCGCTCTTCTTCCTGAATATGACAGAACAGCGTGTGTTCTTGACAAGATGTGCCAATACGAGTGCAAGCTGGAGGCCTCGCGACGAAGTAGGGACCTGAAAATCAGCTCAGACCCTGTCGCTTGTAAAAGAATCTGAGCATCCCGCGGCCTCTCAATCGACCCCCCAGTAGCCGCGTTCAATGCGTCGGCGTTTGGCTTCCAATCGCGAGGGACCTCCACCGAATCATCATACAATCATCCATGAAAGCTGGAAGTCCCTTGCAAGGATGCATGCGGATGCATTTGTTTGGGGCCTTCAAGCTTGAAATTCCTTACTTTCAGCCGTGGCGCTGTGCTGCAAAAGGGTGTTCCGTGAGCCGACGAAACCTTTGTCGTTGATTTTCACTACTGGTATTGTGCAGGAAACGAAGGCTAGCGGGATTTTCACTGATTTTCACTCAAGAAACGATGGCTTCATTCGCCGACGTTCGTGAATCATGATGAATCATGAGTTGCATCGATCCGCAAAGCTCAGGACAGAGCTTTCTCTGCTGGGTTTATTCCGGCATCAAGGTTTTCGTTAAATTCTCGCGAAGTCCTAACTCCAATAGTGACGCCTCAAAGCTCTCAGATCTTCCAAGCTTGGCAGGCTTGGCATGCGGCCCAACGTGGATGGTGTCGGCAGCGTCGCCACCGCCTCAAATGGATGAGAAAAGGCTGCAAGCTTTGGGTGTGGCACATGCTGGGTGTGCAACCGGGCTGGGGTCCAGAATCTTCTTCACGGCTCGAATGACGACCTTCTCCACCTGTTGCACAGTCTAGCACAAACTGCCCAGACAACGACTCAACACACGAGGTGCCCTCCGAGATGTTGGTAAGCATGCAGCTTTTCCGGGAATCTTGACAGGGATGGGCCGCTCAATGGGCGCCCACGTCTGCAAGCCAGGACCATGTCAATCCAGCAGGACATGTAATGCGTGGCAAGGGAAAAAGGCACCCTGAGAAACTCAAATCGTCCGCCTTTTGGCCCAGCAGGACCGGGAACCCCCGCAACCCGGGCGTTGCCCGCGTGGGGCAGGGCGGGCAAGCCTAGGGCACAAAGTCGGATCAAGGCGCCTGCGCTTCGTCGTGTGCCGATGCTAGGGCTGCCGGCCTTGGCACTCCGCGGACCCACCATCTCGATATCAATCTAGAGTTGGCGAGTCCGACTATCGCAAGCTTGAGCCCGTTAAGTCAAAAGTCGCTGACCAATCATTATGCCCATCCCCTTCATCAGCGAACAATCATTGCGGAACTGTGGCACTACGCATCACTCAGCCATGCCGCGCTTTGCGTGAAGTGCAGCACATGACTTGCTCATCACTCCCAGCCATGCATCGCTGATCTTGAGGGCTTCTGGCTTTCTTTTTTCACTCAACAGGCTTGCATGTCCAAACATCAAACCACAGTCAGCCTCGTCATCCATATCATCAGCACAGCCCTGCCAGAGTCGATGTATGTGAGCCGGCAGCAGAGACAAACCAGCACATAGGAGTTGCAACGCTTCAGGCATTCAGAGAGACTGATGAGCAAGATAAGATGTCTTTCAGGACGGCAAGGCTCCAGGAAACTGTAACTCCTAGCCGATTTATAAATGAAAGATCCCTTTGCCTCAAGGCTGAATGAAGGGACCATTGCATGATAGAAGATGGAGATCGAAACTCATGTGAACATTTTTTGAGCAAGAATCATGATGAGCACATCGAAAATTCAGTCTTTAGAGACGCTCTGAAATCGATTTCGTAGATTCGCAGACAAACGATGAAAAGAACATGATTCCGGCAAGAGATCGCCGCTGATCTATCGTTTACAGCCAGCACATGCACTGCCTCAGCTTTTCGTCAACGGCACATCTTATGCATCGACGGTCACAACGTCACAAGAACTGCTAGGTGAAACGATTTGGTCCATCAAACGCTGCTTCAGTTTGCGGTTTTCATCTTCACCTGAAGGCGAATAAGGCGATGGCAGCACAGGCTCAGGGCGCCTGCCCAGTTCGGTAACTGTCCCCAGTTAGGCAGTCAAGACCGGGCGGTTTTGAAGGCCAACTATCACTCTGCGTGGGTCCGCAGCCGGACAAGCAAAGAAGGACATCTTCCAGCTCAACCCACCCGGACACCGATCCTCTCGCATCCTCTACCCCGCATGCACTTCTCTTCCGAGTGGCGGAGGCAACAGCGACTCTGCATCGGAGTGCAGGTCCTGCAATGTAAGGACAACGGCTGTTCGAAAATCTGCCACTCTGAGACTCTGCAGTCTGCGAGACGGGCCGACCTGATGTCTCCAGTATCGTGGCATGTCCAAAGCGGCGCTGGCTGGCTTCAGGGGCACAAAGCTCTGCCTCCAGAGCACTGAGTTTTCTGCATTTTCGATGGGAGCTCGGTCTCTGAGAGCACCACCAAAGAGCGAAGCCCAAGAGCCCAGACAGCCAACAAATCCATGGCGCAAAGACCTTCGAGTCAACGCACGGTCTCTCCTTCCAAGTTTGTTTCTGGGCTTCAGGAGATTACTTTCCAGAAATTTTCGTGGTGGGGTTCGCCGATATTCCCAGCCGCTTGGCGACGTTGCAGAACAGCTCCTGTGTGAATGCGCGGGTCAGGGGCTTTGTGATCGCACCTTTCATCGCTGGTTTCGTTTCAGTATCGCATTGAGTTTCGGCTCCAGGCAGTCTTCTGCTAGTGTCCGCACTGCAGGCCACTGTGTAAGCATCGGCACTGACTCCGTGCGTGTACTCCACCCCGTAAACCACCGCCACCAGCGCAGTGCAACCACCAACGACACTTTTCGACAATCTCGACACAGTCCACTGAGCTACTAAACTGGGGCGAAGTGCTCGGACAAAAGTGCCCACGAATGTGGGTGCAGTCCTCCACCTTGCAGCGGAGCTCTTGCGAAGACACTGTATTCCTGGTGTGGTATGCAGCATACCAGACGAATCAGTGAACGATATGAGTACGTACCCACACGTCGTCCACAGTGGGCCAGCCTGTTCGTGCGCTCGTTGCCGAATTCGGTGCCGCCTGGTTACAGCTTGCCATCGGTTAACCGTTTCAGAAAATGTGGACTGGGAGAACTACCAAGAACCGGAAATACACCGATCATCCCACCACTGAAATGACAATCTGCACTGAGCCTCCATGAACGGTGCAAACCCATGAATTTCATGCCGGATCTTCCAAAGAGAACGCAGCCCCCTCAGAGCCGCACAACTTGCGCGACAGGAGTCGGGTCCATTGCCCCTACCAGGTTGGATTTTGTGCACGAGCATGTTGGCTCAGTACCGGCAGCGACCTCCTCCACAATTCAAGCGTCCAGTACCTCGAAGGCACTTTGCGAAGGGCCCGCAGCTCTCCGCGAAGCTCACAGGTTTAGGGGCCTTTGGGGCTCGGCAGCCGACCCACAAGCACATGGCAACAAAAATGCTGGAATGTAAGATCCGCGCAATCACTGGCAGAGCCAGCAACGTCCAGGTTTCTGCGGCCAGGGGCGACTCATGGTGGGAGGCATTCGATCCAGGGGACACACAACTCCTCGACCTGCTACTTGCCTCCGCATGTCCGTCTACCTCTTTACATATCGAAATCTTTCTTTCGCCAGGGCTGTGGTGTAGGGGCTTTACCCCCATATCGAAATCTCTCTCTCTCTCTCCCGGGCATAGGGGTCGGTCAGGACTCCGGGCATAAAGCCAACCCGCATGCGTTATGCAGGTAAACAGGGTCTGAGGAACGAGCATAACTTCTCCACAGGCATAGACATATTACACATCTATGCATCTGTCTCTATCTCTCTATCTCTCCAGCTCTCCATGTCTGTATATTTCTTTTTCTTCATGCAACCGAGCAGTGGGAACTTATGGAACATCCCGGTCCTTCTTGAGCGAGAAGGCCGCCGGACGAAGGTCATGGCAGGATTTTTAAATGGATTTTTGTGTGATTTATGTCCAATACCCAGCAATCAATACCCAGCAGCGTTGGCTGCTCGCTCTTCTTCCTGAATATGACAGAACAGCGTGTGTTCTTGACAAGATGTGCCAACACGAGTGCAAGCTGGAGGCCTCGCGACGAAGTAGGGACCTGAAAATCAGCTCAGACCCTGTCGCTTGTAAAAGAATCTGAGCATCCCGCGGCCTCTCAATCGACCCCCCAGTAGCCGCGTTCAATGCGTCGGCGTTTGGCTTCCAATCGCGAGGGACCTCCACCGAATCATCATACAATCATCCATGAAAGCTGGAAGTCCCTTGCAAGGATGCATGCGGATGCATTTGTTTGGGGCCTTCAAGCTTGAAATTCCTTACTTTCAGCCGTGGCGCTGTGCTGCAAAAGGGTGTTCCGTGAGCCGACGAAACCTTTGTCGTTGATTTTCACTACTGGTATTGTGCAGGAAACGAAGGCTAGCGGGATTTTCACTGATTTTCACTCAAGAAACGATGGCTTCATTCGCCGACGTTCGTGAATCATGATGAATCATGAGTTGCATCGATCCGCAAAGCTCAGGACAGAGCTTTCTCTGCTGGGTTTATTCCGGCATCAAGGTTTTCGTTAAATTCTCGCGAAGTCCTAACTCCAATAGTGACGCCTCAAAGCTCTCAGATCTTCCAAGCTTGGCAGGCTTGGCATGCGGCCCAACGTGGATGGTGTCGGCAGCGTCGCCACCGCCTCAAATGGATGAGAAAAGGCTGCAAGCTTTGGGTGTGGCACATGCTGGGTGTGCAACCGGGCTGGGGTCCAGAATCTTCTTCACGGCTCGAATGACGACCTTCTCCACCTGTTGCACAGTCTAGCACAAACTGCCCAGACAACGACTCAACACACGAGGTGCCCTCCGAGATGTTGGTAAGCATGCAGCTTTTCCGGGAATCTTGACAGGGATGGGCCGCTCAATGGGCGCCCACGTCTGCAAGCCAGGACCATGTCAATCCAGCAGGACATGTAATGCGTGGCAAGGGAAAAAGGCACCCTGAGAAACTCAAATCGTCCGCCTTTTGGCCCAGCAGGACCGGGAACCCCCGCAACCCGGGCGTTGCCCGCGTGGGGCAGGGCGGGCAAGCCTAGGGCACAAAGTCGGATCAAGGCGCCTGCGCTTCGTCGTGTGCCGATGCTAGGGCTGCCGGCCTTGGCACTCCGCGGACCCACCATCTCGATATCAATCTAGAGTTGGCGAGTCCGACTATCGCAAGCTTGAGCCCGTTAAGTCAAAAGTCGCTGACCAATCATTATGCCCATCCCCTTCATCAGCGAACAATCATTGCGGAACTGTGGCACTACGCATCACTCAGCCATGCCGCGCTTTGCGTGAAGTGCAGCACATGACTTGCTCATCACTCCCAGCCATGCATCGCTGATCTTGAGGGCTTCTGCCTTTCTTTTTTCACTCAACAGGCTTGCATGTCCAAACATCAAACCACAGTCAGCCTCGTCATCCATATCATCAGCACAGCCCTGCCAGAGTCGATGTATGTGAGCCGGCAGCAGAGACAAACCAGCACATAGGAGTTGCAACGCTTCAGGCATTCAGAGAGACTGATGAGCAAGATAAGATGTCTTTCAGGACGGCAAGGCTCCAGGAAACTGTAACTCCTAGCCGATTTATAAATGAAAGATCCCTTTGCCTCAAGGCTGAATGAAGGGACCATTGCATGATAGAAGATGGAGATCGAAACTCATGTGAACATTTTCAGTCTTTAGAGACGCTCTGAAATCGATTTCGTAGATTCGCAGACAAACGATGAAAAGAACATGATTCCGGCAAGAGATCGCCGCTGATCTATCGTTTACAGCCAGCACATGCACTGCCTCAGCTTTTCGTCAACGGCACATCTTATGCATCGACGGTCACAACGTCACAAGAACTGCTAGGTGAAACGATTTGGTCCATCAAACGCTGCTTCAGTTTGCGGTTTTCATCTTCACCTGAAGGCGAATAAGGCGATGGCAGCACAGGCTCAGGGCGCCTGCCCAGTTCGGTAACTGTCCCCAGTTAGGCAGTCAAGACCGGGCGGTTTTGAAGGCCAACTATCACTCTGCGTGGGTCCGCAGCCGGACAAGCAAAGAAGGACATCTTCCAGCTCAACCCACCCGGACACCGATCCTCTCGCATCCTCTACCCCGCATGCACTTCTCTTCCGAGTGGCGGAGGCAACAGCGACTCTGCATCGGAGTGCAGGTCCTGCAATGTAAGGACAACGGCTGTTCGAAAATCTGCCACTCTGAGACTCTGCAGTCTGCGAGACGGGCCGACCTGATGTCTCCAGTATCGTGGCATGTCCAAAGCGGCGCTGGCTGGCTTCAGGGGCACAAAGCTCTGCCTCCAGAGCACTGAGTTTTCTGCATTTTCGATGGGAGCTCGGTCTCTGAGAGCACCACCAAAGAGTGAAGCCCAAGAGCCCAGACAGCCAACAAATCCATGGCGCAAAGACCTTCGAGTCAACGCACGGTCTCTCCTTCCAAGTCTGTTTCTGGGCTTCAGGAGATTACTTTCCAGAAATTTTCGTGGTGGGGTTCGCCGATATTCCCGGAAGCCAGCCACTTGGCGACGTTGCACGTTGCAGAACAGCTCCTGAATGTACAGGTGGAGGACTTTGTGACTCAGCTTCCATCGTCTCGTTGGTTGCATTTCAGTAGCCCCCAAAGCGCATTGAGTTTCGACTCAATGCAGTCTCCTGTTGGTGGGCGCAGCGGTTTCTGAAGTCTGCTGTCTGCACTGCTAGCCGATGCGTACGCATTGGTGCTGACTTCGTGCGTGTTATTCGACAATCTCGACGGAGTCAACTCAGCTGCTCGCCCAGTTGACCTGGACAAGCCCTCGCAAGTACCTCGTTTCCAGGAGGAAGGGGCACTAAACTTAGATCTCACGAGCTTTCGCATGCCGTGTCGGGACACCTCACCGAATGCCGTTTTCTGCGATCCGACCTTGCCGGGTTGGCCTGTGGCGACCTGTGGCTTTGTCGCCTTTGGCGTCGGCCACTAAACCCTAAGCTCAAGTCATTGCAAGTAGCTGCCAGGAATGTCTGAGTCTGCAGTCTGCATGGCCTTCAAAAGTACGAGCGTCACGCAAGACGAGTGACGCCGTTTGACTAGTGACGAGTTTGGAAGTCTTTCCGGTTTGACTCCTGACATCTTGGCAGCGACAAGGCATTGACTTGGTGGTTGCACGCGACGGCGGGATTTGGGAGGTCACCCGAGTTCAGTGCTGGCCTGCTGAGCACAGGAGCTGATCTCTGTTGGATACTTGACGGACAGGGTCCTGCAGCTGAGCACAGCACAGTGCAAGGGAACCGGGCTACCGGTTCGTGGCGCACATGAAGCTGTTGACAATGCTGGACCTTGGAGCATCCGCGAGCAGCGTGAGGCCGTGCGGAGCTGCCGAGGCTTCTGCCAGGATTGCTGCTCCCGCTCCTCCTGCCAACGCTGCAGAAGCCTGAAACGAAGGAAAGGCATCGATAGGGGTACCGTCAAGCACAGCGGCTCAGTGGCCTTCGAGCTTTCGCCAGCTCCGTCTCCAGCTCAACCACTTGGCCTTCCCTCATCAAGAGAGTTCTCTGCAGATAATCTCGTCTACTCTTGCTGTCTTTATTCTTCTCAGACTCAAGGCTCCCACAGCTCCACGACTCGATCACCTGAGGCCTGCCCGAACGGAGTTAACGAAGCTTTCTGGGCTCCCTTCCGTCACGGGCCCCCGGTATAAGTCCCAGCCTTGGTGGCCGTCGCACCACTCGCACCCACCAGCTTGAAACCTAGGAATGCTGAGTAAAGCTGACCGCGCCATCATGCACGAATACTTGAGTCCAGCAGAAGACCCTTCTGACGCTCAGCAAGTTAAAAACACGCGCGATGAAAGGCTGAAAGAGTTGCTTTACAACGGGGCAACGGCGGGGGCTGCTGCCTCCATATTTCAATCTGCTCAGCTCCCTAGCGGTTACTTTTGTTACTTTTCTGTGACCCTACATGACCCTACGCCCTCTTTGTTGCTATGGTGGTGTCGTTAGGTTTGCGTCTACAAGTTCTCGCCAAGAGCCGCTCTGTACAGCCCTTATCGGATCAGGGCATCGGCAGCTTCGTGCTCTCAAGCAGAGGTCTAGTCTCTAGTCTTGGCTCTCTGCGCCTACTGGGGGCATCGGCTGCAGATGAATCGGCTTTCTCTATGGTGGTTGTTGGCTTCGACCGCCCTCCTCGGGCTCACCATTCTCATGCCTTGCGAAGAAAAACGCAAGGAGCATTTGTGCAGGATGTTCCTGATTCGCCTCTTTGGAAAAGCCTGCGAGTCAGCCTGAGTTGTGCCTAGCAAGGCATTCTCTTTTTCTCTGATAAGTGCCTCCTCTGTTTACGGAGCCTTGCAGGATTGCATGCTCGGGAACTGACCGTTTGGCGAGCCTGCATTCTCGGCATTTGTAGTACACTCTGGCATCTGGTTGGTGGCCAGCCTTCGACAGGAAGACACTGATAAAATGAAAGGAAGTCAGGCGGAGAGACTAGCAGTGCAGCGCCTCTCTTCCGCCAACGTCTTCTCCATTGCTTCTGAGGCTGCCCTGAGCACATTACCAGCACCCAGTCTGTGCTGCTAGAAGCCTGCATGAGACCGGTGCCGCTGCGCCGCAAGCTCTGCTGCCAAGGAAGCCTTCTCGCTTTCCCAGGCTACTCGCGCCTGTCACAAGACGCACAGAAAAAGGCTCTTTCCTCAGCCTTGCGCTTTCGGACCAAAGCCTTTTCGGCGTCCGCCGCTGCGGTCTGCGTGGCACTCCTTCCCCGGTGCACGAAGTCTTGCTTGCACTGGCGCCCTGGCACACATGTGTTGCCACGGCCTCATCGCCTGAAGCTCCGACTGGACTGTCTGGCTCGAGTGCCTGCGAAACGTCCCTACGATGTCGGCTCGTCACTACGTGTGGCTCACGGCACGGCACAATACAGAGGTGGGCTGCGGGTGCAGACTTCCTTTACACTGTCATAACCGCGGTTGGCTTGCTCTGTTTACACGGTTGCTGTTATTCTTCTGCTTCTTGCGAAAGTCCCTTGGCCCTGCACTGCACCATTACTGCACCCCTAAGCGTGAGCCAGGTCAGCCGTTGCTTGCAAGCCTAAATGCACCAAACGTCAGCCATGCTTCCTTCCATGATATTGGGCTCCCTCGGAGGCCCTGAGCTCGAAAACTAAACGTCCCGAGACCAAGACATTTCGGCTTAGATTCATCGAGATGCTGGACTCTTGCGTGAACTGAATCTCCCCTCACGGCCATGAACGCGACAAACACGGAAGTGGAGCCGAAGTCAGCAACTCCCTTAACAGGCCTTAATAACACATAGGATGACCTGCATCGCGAATAGAATGGCAGTAAGTGAAAGAGCAGCCGCAGCAAGGCGGACGGATGGCAGCGCCTCTCTTCCGCCAACGTCTTCTCCATTGCTTCTGAGGCTGCCCTGAGCTCATTACCAGCACCCAGTCTGTGCTGCTAGAAGCCTGCATGAGACCGGTGCCGCTGCGCCGCAAGCTCTGCTGCCAAGGAAGCCTTCTCGCTTTCCCAGGCTACTCGCGCCTGTCGCAAGACGCACAGAAAAAGGCTCTTTCCTCAGCCTTGCGCTTTCGGACCAAAGCCTTTTCGGCGTCCGCCGCTGCGGTCTGCGTGGCACTCCTTCCCCGGTGCACGAAGTCTTGCTTGCACTGGCGCCCTGGCACACATGTGTTGCCACGGCCTCATCGCCTGAAGCTCCGACTGGACTGTCTGGCTCGAGTGCCTGCGAAACGTCCCGACGATGTCGGCTCGTCACTACGTGTGGCTCACGGCACGGCACAATACAGAGGTGGGCTGCGGGTGCAGACTTCCTTTACACTGTCATAACCGCGGTTGGCTTGCTCTGTTTACACGGTTGCTGTTATTCTTCTGCTTCTTGCGAAAGTCCCTTGGCCCTGCACTGCACCATTACTGCACCCCTAAGCGTGAGCCAGGTCAGCCGTTGCTTGCAAGCCTAAATGCACCAAACGTCAGCCATGCTTCCTTCCATGATATTGGGCTCCCTCGGAGGCCCTGAGCTCGAAAACTAAACGTCCCGAGACCAAGACATTTCGGCTTAGATTCATCGAGATGCTGGACTCTTGCGTGAACTGAATCTCCCCTCACGGCCATGAACGCGACAAACACGGAAGTGGAGCCGAAGTCAGCAACTCCCTTAACAGGCCTTAATAACACATAGGATGACCAGCATCGCGAATAGAATGGCAGTAAGTGAAAGAGCAGCCGCAGCAAGGCGGACGGACGGCAGCGCCTCTCTTCCGCCAACGTCTTCTCCATTGCTTCTGAGGCTGCCCTGAGCACATTACCAGCACCCAGTCTGTGCTGCTAGAAGCCTGCATGAGACCGGTGCCGCTGCGCCGCAAGCTCTGCTGCCAAGGAAGCCTTCTCGCTTTCCCAGGCTACTCGCGCCTGTCACAAGACGCACAGAAAAAGGCTCTTTCCTCAGCCTTGCGCTTTCGGACCAAAGCCTTTTCGGCGTCCGCCGCTGCGGTCTGCGTGGCACTCCTGCTCCGGTGCACGATGGCAAGGAAAAGACCCTGAATCCCGTGAGTCTTTGGCTGAGTGCCAACATCGGGCTTTCTCAGCTGGGCGCCGCGCTCTGCCTCGCCGACCTTGAGTGCATCCATTGCCGGGCAAAAAAAGTCAGCCCAGACTCAGACAGCCTGCGGAGCTTCCTCCTCGACCTGCGCGAGTGCCCATGCTGCAGAGTCAAGGATTCTGATGATTTCGCGCCTCGTCTTCAGCCTCGTCGTCAATCATCTGCATCTGACTCAGCAAGTCCTGCCCGCACCAGCAAAGCACAGCAACAACCACTGCAGCACACAACACGTGGATCCGTGGATCTGTGCTGTTCACTGCCTGGCCCGCTGCCAAGCTAACGCTGTTCTTGTGCAGAGCAGGCGAGTCAAAGGCGAAAGCCCCATCCAAGGAGCCTCGACAAGGTCACATGGGGCCTCGCTCACTGTGCCACATGACGAGATGCGGGCTCCCGGGAGTCATCATCATGATCTGGTCGTTGAGCTCTTGGGCCTGCGCCGCACGCTTGGCTCGCGAAGTCGCCATTATAAGGGGAAGCGGAAGAAGGGGAAGAAGGGGGGGGCGCTGCGCTGCGGGGGGCGCTTTGGGGCGGTGCTCTCTTCTCTTCTCTCGCTCTACTCTCGCGCTTCGGCGCCTGGCGCTCAGCAGCCTGTCGATCGGCCTCGCTCATGTTCCGAAGCTCCTTTCGCTTTAAAGGCCAAGCGCCCCCCCTACTGGGGGGTTCTGAGCATGCCCCCCCCCCACTTTGCTAAGTCTGAGTCCTCCATTTGGCTGCAGACATCTGCATAGGCGTCTGCATGCCTGGAACTGCGCGTTACACTGCAGATTGCCCCCTGCCAGTAGCACTCGGAGGCTCCGAGTCTCCGAGGCGCCGTCTGCTTCTTCTGCTGCTCGCTTTGGCTGAGGTCTTCGTGCAGTCGCCTTGGGGATTCGTCCGTCCATTTGGCACAGGGATGAAACATGGAATTCCAAGGCTCTCGCACGATCTCTTCCCTTGCTTCCTTCAGCCGCTCATGGGCATCCTTCCAACGCTGCACTGCATGCGCACATGCCAGTCCCTGCGGACACGTGGCCGCCACTCACCAACCGCCTATCTAACGTCCTCCAGCCGTCGCTCTAGCGCAGACCTGAGCCTCTGTTCCTCAGTGCACGAAACACGGTCCATGTGAGCCTCCAAGCTGTGCAGGGCGGAAACACTTCCACCTGCCCGCTGAGGTCAAAGCCTTTGACAGCATCTCGCTCAAGGCCTCAGGGAAGACTCTGGCTTCCGGTGCGTGCAGAGCCTTGCAGAGCCTTGCAGGCTGGCCTTGTCATCCCTCATCTGTTTCTGCAGCAGAGTGACCTCTCATCTCAACTGGCTGCACTATGCAGATGACATGCAGGCCTCTGCAGGCTTCTGCAATCAGCTGGCCTTGTCCTTCCAAACGTGAAGTCGGGTCTTGGTGTCTTTGTCCTCCTCCTCAATGACACCGCACTTGCCTTACCTTCTGCGCGGAAACAGCCCGGAGTCGCAGCGGCTACAGTCCTCAAACTTGCTTCCCGTCTTGTCGTTGAGTTCTTGCAACCTCGATGAAGCAGCCATCGGCTCGGAAAGGCACTGCAAAGATCTGAGCTGTCGACGCGAGGATCTCTTCCTTCTGCCGAGCCATGGTGTGCTTCAGCCCGGTATTCTCATCGTCCAGGACCTCCGACCCCAAACAACCAGGAAGCAAAGGCCAGAGACCCCAGTTGCCGGCCTTGACACGCTCCTGCAGTTGTTGGTTCTCCTGCATCAAGTCCTGCAAGAAGGAGCCCCAAGGTGTGGAAGATCTGCCTCCCGGCTGGCCCTCCGCTGGGCGCGGCCGGCCTCCAGCTCCTCCTGCGTGTGCGAGTGGTCCTGAGACGAGACTCCGCGTCGGCGTCCGGCGTCCGGCGTCCGGCGCTCGGCGCTCGCTCTGAGACCAGGGCCAGCTGGCCTCGCCTTTTGGCTGAGCCTCACAGGCACGGCCCGGCTGCGATGGCTGCGACGTCTGCGGCTGCCGCGGCTGCCCTCGCTGCCCTGGCTTGAGGCTCACGCGAGGATACATCGGAAAGTCTGCATCGTTCTCGAGCCTCAAGAGGCATTGTCAGATGAGTTGCGCAACATTGCATGTGCATGGCCAAGCGTGGCAATTGCAAAGTGCTGCGCTCTTGCCGAAGGTCGTCATTCTCCTCCCGCAAACAACGACGAAATGCTCGAAGACTGAGTCTTCACAACCGCCTCCTGAAGCGCCATTGGCAGGGTTCATTCTAGCACTGCGTTTGTGCAGCAATGCTTGGCCAGAGATGTCCGTTACACGGTAGTATCTGTCAGTAAGCCATGCTGCACTTACAGTACAATGATCTCATGCCTCGATTTGGCGCTTCAAGTTCAGTTCAAGCTTTCCTATCGCAGATGTCCCTTTTGTGCTGGATGCTTCATAGCATGCAGGGCTCGCGGTCTGAAGCAGAAGCGGCAACGTGAAGGCTGGGTCCAGAGGCCGCGAGCAACAGCCGACATCTGGGCCGGGAATTCAGCGAAGGCGCACCCAATGAGTGCTAGCTGTATAGCCAGCAGTGGCAGCAGCACCGTCAGAATGACTACCAGGGTCGTTGACGCATACCTGCCAGACCAAGCTCACATTTCGACATGAAACAGGGTATAGTGGTCTGTCTGTCTCGAGGCAAAGCACTCCATCCAATCTCGGCTTCCTCTCCATCCAAGCCAGAAGGAGGCCATGCTGAGGAAACCGGAGAAAATGATCCTGGGAGAAAGACCAAAAGGCGATCAGAAGATCATGGTGCAAACATGTGCACAACAAACCACCAAACAGTGTCACAGACAGATTATACTTCGGGAGCCGGCAGCGCACCCGTCACCAGCAGGATCGGCATCAGCATCACCGCCGGTGGCAGCCATTCACAGACAGACAGTCTGCGACGAGAAAATCTCTGGATGCTCGACTCTAGCGGCTCTAGCGCCCAGCGCCTCAGGAAAAGGAGAGCGCTAAACCTCGGATCTTCGAAACTCAACACGGATTCTTTAGTGCCTTTCTAGTCTGGCAGCTAACACTCTTTGCTGGGAACGGGGCATTCCAAGCGGTATCCACAAAAAGAGGCTGGAGCCGATGCAACCTCGGGAAAAGAAGGGGTGCAGGCTGTTGCAGGCTGCTTTCTACGGTATCGCCAGGGCTCCGCGCTCGAGGAACAGGATCGCCGACGTAAAATGCTCGAGGCACACGTCCTGGAGCTTAAGCAACGGCGGTGAAGCTTTTTTCCTACCGGGGCCCAGGCAGCACTGCGAGCCAGAACGAAAGGAAGGGCGGGAGGTAGACAAAGTGGGGCCTTCTGCAAAAGAGCAGTCGTGCTTTGTTGCATTGTCGTCGCTCTGAGGGTCCAGACCACGGAAGCCGCAGGTCCTTTTCAAAAGGGAACAAACACCACTGTAGTCGTGGGCACATTGACCGAGAAGAGCTCGTTACTGACGGTAGGATTCGTCGACTGAAAGACAAGACGAAGCACCGCTCGCTGATACGCCGATCTTTGTCGGTGGGCACACCTTTTGTTGGCTGTTTGCTTGGGTTTGGTCGGCAATGCCAGAGGCGGCTCGGAAGCAGCACGGAAACAAGCAACAAGCTAAAACAACCCACAAAGTTCAACGATCCGAATGAACGAGCCTTCAACTACAACATTCAGACGAATTTCTTTTCACCCTGTATGTTGGAATTCGAAGCGCACGAAGCATCCGAAGCCTATGGAGTTCGACTTCTGGGTTGCAGGCAGCACAGCCCAGCGCCCACCCAGTGTCAAGCCCTAGTGGAAACGCCATTTGAGCCCCAGCAGCTCCGCCGGAGCAACATCAACAGCAACGTCAAAATCCTGAGCGACCTTGTGAAGACTTCCCCCAAAATCAGCCATGTCCGACTGCCGCTCGGACCAGCCACCATGCCGGCCAATCGAAGGGTCCCGTCGAAAAAAGGGATCCGACATAGTATGGTCACTGGGAACCCACTGGAAATGCGGCTGTCAACCTTTCAAAAGCACCACTGACCAGAAGCAAACCAACAGATTGCTGATGGATTGATTGTTCTCGACCACATCCCCTACTCAAAGCAGCTCTCCCAGCCTGATTATCACAAAATCATATCCAATCCAAAACGGACACAGACAAGACGTCGTGACAGGTCAGAGCGGCAACCACCTGTGCCATAATCTCGAGAGCATAAATGAGCGCTTTGCGTGTGGAGAACAGCAGCAGCAGCACCTGCTGAGGCACCGGCGCGAAACCAAACCGAACACCCTGAACAGACCGCACAACGAATCCCCAGTCGTTGCGGCACTGCCCACTGGATCTCGCATTCCAAGCTGAAGGCGGTTCGTCGGAGAGCCCGTATGAAAAGGTTGCACAAAGCGAAGAAAGTATCAGCATAAATGACAGCTCGTGGCTCACGAGAGTTGTCAAAAGGAAACCACCGAGGCCGAGCAACCTGCAACAGCTTTAGCAGAAATTTAAGAGAGGAGCACAAGGCATTGTTGAGGTTGATGGCCGCATCACCATGACTCCGATGCCCCCGTGCATAAAGCGGTCTAAGGGCGGCAATGCCAACCTGACCGAACAGTGTAGTCTGCAGGAAATTCAGCTCCCCGGCCAGTCTTTGAGGTCCAAGACGTCTGTATCCAACGCTTCCTTGATTGTGCGAATCACCTTGGCAAGACTGTCAGGGGATGGCGCGAGACGAATACCATCGTGGAGTATCCCTAGAATCTCTAGAATGACCCCAAGCAAGGTCTGCTTGGTACAAGGCGGTTGGGCCTTGCTCGGTTTGAGCCGCATGCCGAGAATCTGGCACAGCTACGAGAAAGCCACGAAGGCATAGTCGGAGGAACTCGACTCATCCGGACCTCCTATGTCGTCGACAAAATGAATAATCAGCAGAATCCAAATCGTTCTGGCCAAGAAACCCAATGCATCAACACATCTGTTGAATCACCAAACTGAAGAAGCAGCCCCAAACGGTAGGACCGTGTGGGCCCATAAAGTGGGCCCAGACGCATTAGCCAACAATGTGAACGCCTCACTCTGACGGACATTGGCGGTAAGCAGCCCGCTAATCCTGACACCACACCTTGGTGGCGAATCCCGCCTGATGAAGTCGCTGCAGCACCCACACGTAAGTGTGTATCGTATTGTATTGTATCGTGAGCAGGGATATCCGATGCTGCAATGGTGGAGTTATGATGACTCCTGCGATAGTCCTCGCAGCGGCGCACCTTCGTGGCGCCGTCACTCCCCACTTGAGTGACCGAAAAGGCGCCGGGCGAGAATGGCAATGGCAGACACTGCTGAACGCCCTCATGAGATGCAACCGCCACGCACTGGCGCGGCCAATCTGCCTGAGCCCTGTATGGGCCGCTCATCCGACCCAGAGCCACCCCAGATAGCACCTCAGAGAGCATCGCTTCCCACTCCAGGTCAACCCGGCCTTTGAGCAGCTTCTCTGGCACATACGCCTTCTTCAAATCAGCAAAGACAGCTTTGTCAACGGGGTGTCGATATCGGTCTCCAGCTCACAAGTCACGGGTTTCCCAACGTCAGTGCCTTCTGAAGAGCCTCGCAGTCGGGGTAACCAGCACCTCGGAGCAGCTCAATGAACAATGGAATTTGAACGACATAGCCACCCGGAAGAGTGTATGCTCGTCGAATGTGTGGGGCCAGCCTTCACGCATCCGATCACGAATAGACATAACACCATCAATGACCCGGCACCTCAAAAGAATCCCTCGGATCCAATCTCTACCATCTTTTGCAATGTCATCTCGAGGCCGGGGTCAAGTACAGAGGGGAGGAGACCTGGATGCACGGCAGCAGCAGAAGCCTCCCAATGTCCCCACATGGAATCAACCGGCAACATTTGAACATGCTCGCTCATTTCTGATGCCCGGCTCCTGGGCAAAGGCTCCAATGCGACAGCCTGCTGTGCTGATGCCAAATCACGGACCCCACTGGAGCCCCTGCCTGCTATGGCTAAAAGGGCCCGGCAGGGTGATGACACCATGCTTCAACGCAAAATCAAGCATGGGCTTGGCCACATCAACGCGCCAGCTATTGCCGATCAGACGGTGTCTGTCGTTGTCCGACAAAGCAGGGCTAGAGGTGATACCACCATCGAAGTGGTGCAAAGTTTCTTTAGCGTCGATGGGCAGCTCCCGGAACTTGCCGTCCTCGTCGACGAGTAAGTTCTCTTCACTGAAGAACCAGGGAGCAAACTGTCTGCGACCCTGAAGCCACCTGGCGCGGGTCGCGCTGTCGATGCGATGCTTGGTTTTCCTTGGAGCTTCTCTGCCGGCATCAGAGATGGCTGGCGTTGTGAGGCAAGGCAGGATGTGCTGCCCAGTCCTCACCCGTTCGTGGAATCGAAGGCCCTGACGCTGGTGATCCTCGATGTTGTCCTTTGTCACCAGCAAGCGAAGTTGGGGAAGCTCATTATCTCCAATTTCTTGTCTGAGTTCGGATAACACTGGACCCTCGGCCACTGGATCCACGACCACCACAACCTGGCCCCTGCCACGACCCCGGAGTCGCTTGGCGTCTACCATCACCGGTTCAGCATGAATTTCCCTGCAAAAGAACTGCACATCCCCCAGGTTCTGCATAACCACATTTCTCAGAAGGCAGGCCTTCCGACCTGGAAAGGGAAAGTGCTCACCCCTCACGGCCTTGACCGTTGTTGCCACTTGAGCCGGATCATCCCAGCTGAGGTCGCCCCGCTGGGAGTGTCAAAATAGCACTACTGGAGACCTGCTCCTTAATGGCCAATTGCCTCATGTACAGAAGAACGGCAGTCGCACTCGGCTTGTCTGCCTCACTGATCTTAACGACATCAGGGCCCACCTTGAAACCACTCAAGAGGGGAGCCACAAAGACTGTAAGCTATCATCGCCAGGGTGCCAGCGCTGGTCACCCTTCTTGCTTCGAGATATCGTTTGATATCATCACCTGCGCCCACCTTCTTGGCGATCTCAACCAGGTCCATTCCGGGAGGATCAGCCCCGTATAGGGGGACGTAGCTGCAGCCCGAAAAACTGCGGTCATGCTTGTTGCTGAAGGAGTGCCACACAGTCACCGGCATGTCACAACCGACAACGGCTCCGTTGGAGGCTAGCATCACACTCACTCTCTCTTTCAGGCTGTACGATGTGCTTCTCGCCTGTGGTTGAAGCCCAGCCGGGAGCCACCTGTCCCGTAAAAATCCGAGGAGCAGAAGCTCAAGCTGCAGCTCACGCGCTGAGCCCGAGCCTCTTGCAATCTCTCCTGGCACCCGCCGGCCAGGTCAGTCAAGCCCCTGCAGGTCGACACACGACACCGACTACTGCGGTGGCACTACGACCATCAGGCCTGGAACACGAAGTGGAGATGCCACGCAGCCAGGAAAACCAGCCCTGAACCTTTTTCACAGCCCGCCGAGTCACGACGACGAATATCCGATGAGGAATCTAGGGAACTCGGGCAATCTTCGCTTGCCGAGCCTTCCTCTCCTCCAAGGTCGCGTCGATAGGGGCTGGAAGTGACTCCCAACTGCCAACCTCAAACTCTGAACCATTGACCACACTATCCTCAAGTAGCGGCACCTCAAAGGAGTCCTTCAGGTCGGAGGGCCCCAAGCCCCGCTTGATTGACCGTATGCAATCCTTAATCAGCGCCTTGGCCACAAGAGAAACTGGTATGTGCAGTCTGCGAACCTGAAAGGAAACAGCCGAAGAGTAATACTGCTGAGCTGACCTGTAACGACCTCGTGTGAGCGATGCTCCGACGGCTCTGATGTTCTTCTCATCTACCCATTCCTCACAAAGGCTCCTCCAAACTAGCAATCGAGACTCCATCGGACCCACTGTGGTCTTTGCAAAAACTTCCGCGTCCAGCTCCTGAAGTGCACGAGCCCTCTCAGAGGGAAGTCCGCTGTTGACGGCGGACTGGGGGCAAGTCACCCCTCTGCCGGAGCAAGGTCAACGAACGGGCTATGGAGTGATGCCGAGTTAATCAGCACTTCCAGCTGCCATCTCATCACCCCTTCACGCAAGAGTTCCTCGCTCCGGAGGTGGGCCTCTTCTACAGAGAACACAGTGCACCTAACACAAGCAGTGGCAATCTCGGGGATGCCCTTCAAGCGGAGCAACTCCCAAAAACTGGCTGCTGAAGCCAACGAGCCAAGTTGCTATGCACGATTCTATCCAAGGCACTTGTGATCATATGCCCTGATCTCATATTGAAAACTCAGACACACCTGTCCTCGCCGATCGTCGCCAACACACGACTCAGCGCAGCCGCCGCCTTAAGCTCGGGCTGTGGTCCTTGAGGAGCTGGCAGTCGAAGAATGATGGCCAACTGCACCTTAGAGCGAAGGATCACGACACCACCTCGGAGGCCGCATCCTTACGTGTGAGCGTCATAGACCCGCGTGGGGACGGCAAACCAGAAGCCACCGGAGAGACACTATCGCAGTGCAACGAAGTAAACAAGTTAATCAAGGCTCCAATGCGGCTTCAACCGAACTATCCAGCCAGGAATGCAATGTGATCAAGGCGTCCAATCGGTCGACGATCTCAAAACCGAAATCGAAGCAAACCCCTCAGGAGAGCAAGCCATGGCACACACACGGCCAAGATAATCAAAATTTTGGGCACTTCGAGCCGATACCTGCGCCATGGTCTCGGTCTGCGCTTTGTCAAAAGGTGCATGCTGCACTGATCGACAAGTGCACGGCGTCTGTCGAATACAAACTATGCCGATCTCTTCTTCCACAGTTATAGCACAAGGGAGGACTGCGCTGGAATGAAGCCACACACCACCCTGACCTAAGTATTCTTCTCCAACGCATGGGTGGGCAGTGTCAAATGTCCCGGCCACATGGGAACCCCCTGTCATGCCTGGGGCTCAGTGAAGATGTGAAGAACAGTTTGGCTACCCAATTCTATCACTCATCTCTTTCTCCCTTTTGGGCATCGGGGGCATTCGAAAATTTCGCAACCCCCTCGGCCGAAGGCCCACCCGCTAGAGCCAAGGGATTCAGTAGCCAGTTTGACTCGAGTAACAGTTTTGGCTCAAGCGTAACTATAACCCGGAGTCCAGCACCTGGAAGCAGACAAATCCCCCTACAAGTTCGCGACACTTGCAAACACTGACGGGGGACATTGCAAGAGCATCGAGCAGCACAAAAGTGTGGAGGCGGCCACAAACTTCTACTGTGTGAACAATGCCTTCGATCTGCACAGTCTGCTGGTCCCGAATGAGCGCAGATCATTGTGGACCACGGGGCACCAGGATTGTGCACAGGACCTGCAGCCTCCACTGGGGATGCGACGGACGGCGGCACTTATGCTGTTGTGGATGCGTGTGGCTGCGGAGTTTTCAGCCTTCCAAGCCAACGGCTGGTGGCGCAAAATCCAGACGGACAGTTCAACCTGCAGTTTCCGGCAAGACTTCTTTAAGCCTTATACAAGGCATTCCGACCCCCGCAAGCTAGACTGAATTTCTTGTCACCCACGTAGATTTGGCAAGTCCGATGCCTTTGCCCATCGGCATACTAGTAGACACCAGCAGTCGGGGGATGCGCAACGTTAGTTTTTGACCCAGGGTTCCGTTTTGCTTAGACTCCTGCTGTTTTCTTGCCGAGCCTTGCTTTCTCTGCATCGGGGGAATGAAGTGGCCCTCCGAACTTGCAATGAGTCGTGATCGCTTGACAAGGTCTTTCCGGACCTGTATGATAGCTCTGGTTTTGCAAATGACATCGCAACCCGGTTTTCTTGAGTTCAAGTACCCGCGTGAAATCGGGTGTCTCATAGTCTTTAATTCTTCCAAGCTTGTCTGCACCCCTTCGGGGGATGTGTGTGTGTGTGTATTATACATACATTACGTAGACATTTACATATGCGAAAATAGACATTCCCCTCAGCCCTGAACCTCTACTTAGACTGGCTGTGCAGGCCGACCGGGAGACTGTTCATCTCTCTCGCTTTCTTTCCCTGTGCTAGACAATTTCTGAAGGCTATGAGGAAGCTTCTGGCACGTCACTTGCGTGATCGGAGCGTGGTACGTCCTTCTCAAGCGTAGCTGCTGTCAACGGCACCTGCTAGTGCAAGCAAGTAGACGCGCAAGAGCAAAAGCAAGTATGGAGAACCGAATCCTAAACCGAGCGGCCACTGCCAAACCAAATATGAGCACCTGGCGACACGAATACTGACACCGCAGTCTCATGCTGCGGCCGGGACTTGGAGGCCCGCACCAGCAGGCACTCGCAAGGCGAGCTCAGTAGAATGAACCTGTAGCTGCCGTAACTGCGCAGCGCTGCGCAGCGCGGAGAGGAACCAGCTTAAGCTCGCGAAGTCTGAGCCTATCACCACCTGATTGTGCCTTGCAACCGATTCCAGTAGAAGGTCCTGCAAATCGCATGAAGACGAGCATGCTTAAACGTCGCGGTTCGTAGGCTCGCTTTTGTCTGCACCCGGTCCAGCCCGTGCTGCTGCGCTGAAGGTAGATGGCGAATCTCGGCAGGTATCTGTTTGCATCTACCAATGATCAATGGCAACATACGGTCTTCCGGATTCAAAGCAGGTCACGTAATGGCCGCTGATATCAAAACGAAAGCCTGAAAGCCAATGAAATTTGTTTGTCTGGACTTGGACTTGGCAAGTACCACAGGCCTCGAAAACGAAGAATGGTGCCAGAATGATGTAGAAGGACCTGGTACGACAAGCGTTCCAGATCGACCACCGTCATTAAGACATCATGGAAAGAGAAGGTCGTGTGCATCTGGGAGACCCCACGTGTTCAGAACCTCTAGCAGTTTCAACCAAAGGAGCGTGCTGCTGGCCACGAGCGCCCTTGAGAGATGACCCAAATCCAGGCAAGTCGCGGGACGCTGAGACTGAGAGCGGCGCAAGCAGAAGAGGCAATGGCCGAAACGCACCAGGAAGTAGTTCAGCGCCCGACTCGACGGATGTAAGCAGCACAAAGTGTCAGGGTCTGGTCGTCCCTACCCCTTTTCGTCAGTCCCTGGCAGTCTGCGCTGCTTTCGCTCCTGCTCACGTGCCTCGTCCAGGGACGATCAAGGAGGCACCGAGGTTGAGCCACCGGGCGCGGCGCCTGCTCTCCGCGTTGTTGAAGCTCGTTTCGGGCCTCGAAAGACAAAGAACAAGCACCGGAAGCACCCCTCGCCCCTCGCCGGCTGCTCAGGCGATCACAATCTCTAAGTCCAGAAGGTGTTCGCGACCTGAGGTCTGCAGGCTCTGAGAGACTCGGCGGACGCGGTGGATCTGCAACAGCATCCAGGAAACAAACCAAAAGCACAGCAGGAAGCCGCCAGAAGAAACAGCTCTGTGCCGCGTTGTCTGCGTCACTGTATGGAAGAGCGAGTGAGGACCGGCGTAGCGGAGCGACTGCGCGAGACTGGAGTGACAGTGACAGAGTCAGATATAGTCTTGCATGGGTGAGCGCTGAGCCCCAGCAGCGCTGGAGGCATCGGTTCAGGACAAGACACTTTCCCTGGATGCGCCGAGGCCGCTGCGCTTGAACACATAAAGTTGCCGTGGATGGAACTGCCGATGCATAGCCTGTCGACCAGTTCGCTTAACCGTCTGATACGTCAATCCCATATTAGCCGCTAGATCACCAGCGAGTTTGCACGTGTTTTTCGCCAGGCTATCTCTTTTATTCAATCGCACAAGAGCACAATCAAGCATCCAGCCATCCATGTCAGCAGCATCGCTCGGTGTGTAAATGATGCCTGCCAAATCCCAGCGTCTGTGAATACGACAGGAAAAAGCCATCAGACTCCACGATGGAAAACAAGCATGGGTGACGCTGAAGTCGGCCCGAAGCAACATTTGCCACAGCTCAGGGTTCTCCGACCTGGTTCAGGCACATGCCGAAAGCACCGAGGCATCTGGCCCGACAGGGAGCCAAGCAGTGTTGACATCCTCTGGCAGGAAGAGCTGATGCATCCTCGCGAGACGCGTTACACGCTGCGACGTCCACAGGCCCACCCAAGGAGGCCGGCGGCCGCCTGAGAGCTCCGTCGCTTCCAGGTTGCTCAAGACCCGCTGCCAGCACCTGGCGGCCACCAAACGTAGACTGCGGGCTCGAACCGGGCTGTTTCCGCCAAGGAACTCATCCGGCAAAGGCGCCACGCCCGCGACAGATCTCAGAACCTGTGAAACCCCGCTTCGAGCTACCGAACATCACCAGACTGAGCCACGTGCCATGGACAGGAGCGCGTCTTTGGCACCTGCTCGCTGGTTGTGGAAGCAAGCCGCTGCTCAAATCCAGTCTTCTGCGGCAGATACGCTGGCCTGCCTCCTTCACCAGGTCATCCGGGAATCCGGATGTCACTGTCTCTACTACGCCCAAATATTATCGAGTTTCTTAGCCATCTGCTTGTGCTGGAATGGAAGCATCGACGCAAAATGCTCTGCATCCGTGTTTTCTATGATTCAACATCAAAAAATCCGTGCACAGTCGATGACGCTTCCGGGAGCAGAACCACTGGACACAGATCTGTCGTGAGCAAGTGCCGAACTTGTACCTCTTTATGCGAGCATCCAAAATCACTTTTGCTGCTGCAGGAGTGGGGGAAGCGCTCCCTTTTGCATGTTTTTGAAACCCCGCGATACATGTGCGCGAGCTCCTTTTAGGTACTCCACACAACTTCTTGGGAGGGAGTCGTCGTGAAACGAAGGGGTGAGAGAGAACGCATAACAAAGCCGTGAAACGATTACGCCAGGTTGTCCGGCTCGAGGAAAAGCCGCCGCGACCGGCGAAAAGCACGTTCGAAGCGCTGTAGCGTTGCAACGAAGGCATCGTCCTTGTCCAAGGCCGGATCGATGTGCTCCAATGTGGACTTCAGGGACATCCTGAGCCGCGACGTCAAGGGTTGGCATCTTCTTCTCTTCCCTTCCCAGGCTCACTCCCTCCCTCTCTTTCTTTCGCAAGGGTAAGAAGAGGGGGAACGACCACTCTTAGGAGCGTGTCAATGCACGTCAAGCTCGCGCAGCTTGCAATCAGGATCACCGGGTAATTGCTGAACCCTCGGCCCTCGTGCTTGCAGGCACATGCTTATGCCCTGGTAAGACCTTGGCTTAGCAACGCCTGTAATATTGATGTGGACCGTCTGCCCTCAAAACCTGGCAGCTCGCCCCGGCCTCTCATTCATACTATACTGTGGGGTCTGAAGGGTGTCATCGCCCAACCCGAAACCAGCCTTCCCTCGGAAAAGCGACGGTTCTGCTAGTTGAGGCGGCGGATGCAGTATCGAGTTCACAAGTCAAAGGGACATGCCGTGAGCTAAACACCAAGAATTAGAACTGCTCTGGCAGGAGTTGTATCCATGATACATGCGGTATGATATGCCCAATATACGGACACATGTCAGTCATATCAGTCATATCAGTCTCCATCCCTCTCCGTCTGTTGCCAAGCTGCAGCATGTCCTTCAAACTTTCGAATGCGCTAAGTAGCTCGTTGGCATGGTCTGCTGCCTTCTGGGCAAGATCACCACCTCGAAGCAGAAGCTGCAATGCTGCGTCTTGCGGCATCCGTTTTCCATCTGTTTCCCCGGTCCTGGCCTCGCGGGTTGCCCTCGCCTCGGGAATTTGCCTGATTCGCCTCCCCGGATGTGCCAAGCCTGAGCTTTCGGAGGTCAAAAGAAATCGTTGACAGACTGAACGACTGAGCGGCATAAACACCTCTTCGACTGGCGAGGCACAGCTTGAAGGCATAGCTTTCTAGTGGCACACCTTGCCCGTCTCTCGGGGCAAGGGCATGGGAGCCTAGTAGGGTCGACGCTTCGTTCGCAGTGACCTGGCGAAGGGGAGAAAGTCTCCAAAGAAACGAAACAAGCGAGGCTAGCGGCTAGCAGGGTTTCGTTAGTGTGTTTCGGACTCGGACCTGGTGATCGGGGAAAACCACGTTCGGTGCCGAGGAGAGCTTCTCCAGCAGGTAGGGTTTCTGCGTCTGCGTTTTCAGCTTCTCCCCACGGAGCGAGAGCACGTGGTCCATCAGCAGAAGAAGCCTCGCGTCGTGATCCTTCTCCCGCTTGTTGGATGGAAGCACTGAGGCTGCCAGCTCCCCAAAAGCGTGCACAAAGCCCTCGAGGCACTTCAAGGTGATGGCCTGAGCAAGAAGACCCGTCGTCATGCCGGCGTGTGCTAGCAAGCAGCAAGCAGAAGGCAGCGCAGCAGAGCGCACCTTCTGGTGCTGCACGCGAGGCCAAGGCAGAAGCCGCTCCTTGCTTGGAGCGCGAAATGCATCAAAGACAAAGGGGCTCTCAATAAAAGGGTGGAGCTGCTTCTGTGCTCTGCACTGACTGTGCTTTAAAAGGATGCAGTACTCCAACCACGACGAGTCTCTTTCTCTGCCGAAATTATAAGTGGCTCCAATGCCAAGATTGCTTTGACAGAGGGCTGCAACGCCTCTACTGCATGAACTTCCCGGTTCCGAAGCCAAGCCGACCTCGGGCATCTCGGGCCAACACGCCACACACCCTGCACACCAGCTGCATATAGCTGCATGCATCACTGCAATGCATCTCAAGTCAAGAAGCTCCCAGGCATGCCCGCGACCCCTGCGGGCGGCGCCCGTGATATCCCGAGAGGTGTCCGCACCCACACCGCTTCCACCGCCTCCACCACTCTGTTCAAAGAGTCTTTCACCGCTGTATTTGTAGGTGTTTAAAGAGTATGTAAAGGCTGCCAATGTGTGCCCGGCGCCCACACCGCCCCCACCGCCCCCACCGCCCACACCGCCCACACCGCCCCCACCGCCCCCACCGCTCACACCGCCCTCACCGCCCTCACCACCCCCACCACCTTCATCCCCCTCCACCGCTTTCACCGTTCCCACCGTCTCCACCGCTCTCACCGTCCGCTGTATTTGTAGGTGTTTAAAAAGTATATTTAAAGGCTGCCAATGTGTGCCCGGACCCCCCCGCGCCCACACCGCCCCCACCGCCCACACCGCCCCCACCGCCCACACCGCCCTCACCGCCCTCACCACCCCTTCATCCCCCTCCACCGCTTTCACCGTTCCACCGTCTCCACCGCTCTCACCGCCCGCTGTATTTGTAGGTGTTTAAGAGTAAAGAGTATTTAAAGACTGCCAATGTGTGCCCGGACCCCCCCGCGCCCACCACCGCCCACACCGCCCCACCGCCCACACCGCCCCCACCGCCCACACCGCCCACACCGCCCCCACCGCCCCCACCGCCCACACCGCCCCCGCCCCCCACCGCCCACACCGCCCACCACCCCCACCACCTTCATCCCCCTCCACCGCTTTCACCGTGCCCCCACCGCCCACACCGCCCCCCCCGCCCGCTGTATTTGTAGGTGTTTAAAGAGTAAAGAGTATATTTAAAGGCTGCCAATGTGTGCCCGGACCCCCGCGCGCCCCCACCGCCCCCACCGCCCACACCGCCCTCACCGCGCCCTCACCACCCCCACCACCTTCATCCCCCTCCCCGCTTTCACTGTCCCATCGCCCCTCACCGCCCGCTGTATTTGTAGGTGTTTAAAGAGTAAAGAGTATTTATAGGCTGCCAATGTGTGCCCGGACCCACCCGCGCCCCCACCGCCCCCACCGCCCACACCGCCCTCACCGCCCTCACCACCCGCACCACCTTCATCCCCCTCCGCCGCTTTCACCGTTCCCACCGTCTGCACCGCTCTCACCTGTATTTGTAGGTGTATAAAGAGTAAAGAGTATTTAAAGGCTGCCAATGTGTGCCCGGACCCCCCCGCGCCCACACCGCCCACACCGCCCACACCGCCCCCACCGCCCCCACCGCCCACACCGCCCCCCCCGCCCCCACCGCCCACACCACCCACCACCACCACCAGCTTCATCCCCCTCCACCGCTTTCACCGTTTGTATTTGTAGGTGTTTAAAGAGTAAAGAGTATTTAAAGGCTGCCAATGTGTGCCCTGACCCCCCCGCGCCCACACCGCCCACACCGCCCCCACCGCCCACACCGCCCCCACCGCCCACACCGCCCTCACCGCCTTCACCACCCCCACCACCTTCATCCCCCTCCACCGCTTTCACCGTTCCCACACCCTCCACCGCACCCCCGCCCACACCGCCCTCACCGCCCTCACCACCCCCACCACCTTCATCCCCCTCCACCGCTTTCACCGTTCCCACCGTCTCCACCGCTCTCACCGTCAGCTGTATTTGTAGGTGTTTAAAGAGTAAAGAGTATTTAAAGGCTGCCAATGTGTGCCCGGACCCCCCCCGCACCCACACCGCCCCCACCGCCCACACCGCCCACACCCCCACCGCCCACACCGCCCCCCCCGCCCCCACCGCCCACACCGCCCACCACCCCCACCAGCTTCATCCCCCCACCGCTTTCACTGTTTCCACCGTCTCCACCGCTCTCACCGCCCGCTGTATTTGTAGGTGTTTAAAAAGTAAAGAGTATTTAAAGGCTGCCAATGTGTGCCCGGACCCCCCCGCGCCCGCACCGCCCACACCGCCCACACAGCCCCCACCGCTCACACCGCCCACACCGCCCCCACCGCCCCCACCGCCCAGATTTCCCTCACCGCCCTCACCACCCCCACCACCTTCATCCACCGCCACCACCCCCACCATCTCCATTACTGCCATGCCTGCACTGTGCCTCCACCGCTTTCACCGTTCCCACCGTCTCCACCGCTCTCACAGCCCGCTGTATTTGTAGGTGTTTAAAGATTTAAAGGCTGCCAATGTGTGCCCGGACCCCCCCGCGCCCCCACCGCCCACACCGCCCTCACCGCCCTCACCACCCCCACCACCTTCATCCACCGCCACCAACCCCACCATCTCCATTACTGCCACGCCTGCACTGTGCCTCCACCGCTTTCACCGTTCCCACCGTCTCCACCGCTCTCACCGCCCGCTGTATTTGTAGGTGTTAAAAAGTAAAGAGTATTTAAAGGCTGCCAATGCCCCCGCGCCCCCACCGCCCACACCGCCCCCACCGCCCACACCACCCTCACCGCCCTCACCACCCCCACCACCTTCATCCACCGCCACCACCCCCACCATCTCCATTACTGCCACGCCTGCACTGTGCCTCCACCGCTTTCACCGTTCCCACCGTCTCCACCGCCCGCTGTATTTGTAGGTGTTTAAAGAGTAAAAGTAGGCTGCCAATGTGTGCCCGGACCCCCCCGCGCCCCCACCGCCCACACCGCCCACCGCCCACACCGCCCTCACCGCCCTCACCACCCCCACCACCTTCATCCACCGCCACCACCCCCACCATCTCCATTACTGCCACGCCTGCACTGTGCCTCCACCGCTTTCACCGTTCCCACCGTCTGCACCGCTCTCACCGCCCGCTGTATTTGTAGGTGTTTAAAGAGTAAAAGAGTATTTAAAGGCTGCCAATGTGTGCCCGGACCCCCCCGCGCCCCCACCGCCCACACCGCCCCCACCGCCCACACCGCCCTCACCGCCCTCACCACCCCCACCACCTTCATCCACCGCCACCACCCCCACCATCTCCATTACTGCCACGCCTGCACTGTGCCTCCACCGCTTTCACCGTTCCCACCGTCTCCACCGCTCTCACCGCCCGCTGTATTTGTAGGTGTTTAAAGAGTAAAGAGTATTTAAAGGCTGCCAATGTGTGCCCGGACCCCCCCGCGCCCCCACCGCCCACCCGCCCCCACCGCCCACACCGCCCTCACCGCCCCCACCACCTTCATCCACCGCCACCACCCCCACCATCTCCATTACTGCCACGCCTGCACTGTGCCTCCACCGCTTTCACCGTTCCCACCGTCTCCACCGCTCTCACCGCCCGCTGTATTTGTAGGTGTTTAAAGAGTAAAAGAGTATTTAAAGGCTGCCAATGTGTGCCCGGACCCCCCCGCGCCCCCACCGCCCACACCGCCCCCACCGCCCCCACCGCCCACACCGCCCTCACCGCCCTCACCACCCCCACCACCTTCATCCACCGCCACCAACCCCACCATCTCCATGCATTACTGCCACGCCTGCACTGTGCCTCCACCGCTTTCACCGTTCCCACCGTCTCCACCGCTCTCACCGCCCGCTGTATTTGTAGGTGTTTAAAAAGTAAAGAGTATTTAAAGGCTGCCAATGTGTGCCCGGACCCCCCCTCGCCCCCACCGCCCACACCGCCCCCACCGCCCCCACCGCCCACACCGCCCTCACCACCTCCACCACCCCCAGCCACCACCCCCACCGTTTTCACTACACCCACCATCTCCCGGCCTTGCGATGCGCCGCCGCGCGCGCGATTTTTTTGTCATATACCACCCCATGGCCACAACTGTACTGGTTCCGTTTATACTACTGTACTACGACGACCGACCCCCCCTCAATAATCAATCCCCCCCACCCCGGGCGCCAAATCAATCAAGGGGGGGGGAGAGGGGGGGGGGTTTATTAATAGGAGGTTGACATTAATCAAAACGAACACAGCCTTCCTGCGAAACTTGGTTTTGTGCGGATGCCTTTTGCCTCTGAGTCACAAGGTTGCTGAAACATGCGCACACAATGTCCGAGAGCTGAGCACTGCGTCAGTCCGAATACTTCGCCGCATCAGTCATGTGCTCATGCTACTCGTGCCAGTTACAAGACTTGCAGGCCCTATCTTATTATTTCATGTCACTTCCTCCGTATCAGGGTTGGCTGCTTACAACACCTGCTGCCTTCCTTGGATAGTCACCTCTCTTCTTTTGGGGTCGGGGGCAGTGGCGGCAGCCCATAAATAGCTGCATGCATCACTGCAACGCATCTCAAGTCAAGAAGCTCCCAGGCATGCCAGGCACTGGCAAACTTTCGCAGCATAGCATCCGGCAAGCGGTCGATCTCTTTCGACGCTTTCTGCCTGATCTTGGCAACCAACGCCTTGTAGGAGATGACCAGGTTATCCCGAAGAACGAGGACCTTCCAGGGATGACGCTTCCGCCTATTGAGTCTACTCAGCGAACCGTCCTCGGGATCGAAAAGGAGCTGTGCGCCGTTGATGGTCCTCTGTTGCTCAGGGTCTGAAGAAGCCTTCGGCGCCACATGCAAGACTCTTAGTCTTAGCCAAGGCTCTCATAGGCTCCCAGCTCCAGGGCTTGCATGAAAACGGCAGGCGGCAGCAACTCTCCCGATTCGAAGAGGTACCGGAAGCGGGGGAAATCCTCCCGCTCTTGCGACGCCACCCGCTCGAACTTCCCAACCTGAGGACTGGTTCTGCAGTATCACCACACTTTCCAAGGGCAACGAGGCTAAGTCACCTGACGACTTGGAGCACTTTGGTCATGCAATGTCTGCAATGTGTTGCGTCCCTCTCCGCTCATTTTCTTCACCCGTGCCTCCAAGGCTTCTGAGATTGCGTTCAGGTTTCGAGGGATCCTTGGAGAACAGTCACTGTGAAGATGCTCACTGCCCAAGGTCTCTGAGCTTGTCACGGCACCGGCTTAGTATCATGGTTTCCCCTTATTTGCCCTCAGCACCCTACCGGCTTGGTCCGTACCCAAAGCACATTCTGCTACCAGCGTAGAGAATTCAGGAAGGCTAGGTTGGTGGACCGTGGACCTGTTATGACCGGGCTGGAAGAGGGGAACTCTTTCGAGCGTTTGGGCCCCGGGGTTTTCTTTCCACCACAGAGATTCGCAGCAGGCTTTGCTAAGGCAGCAGCTCAGCTCTGTTCGAAGGCTTGCAATAATCTTCTCGCAAAGCTCTGACTCCCAGCGTCGCGTTTGCCGCCATCGCAGTACCTGCTGTCTGCAGCACTTTCGCCATTCGGCCATGAAAGCCTGCGGGCCCCAGCTTTGACCCGAGATGCTTCGGAAAGTAGTTCCAGCGTCCACCTTTACCCATCAATCGTGACGTCGTGACGCAGCGTCTGCTCGGAGGTACAAGTAGCCTTGCAAGGCAGCCTTTTGCGCGACGACATGAGCACCGGAGCAGTCCCCTCTTTGGCAGCCTGGCTGCTAAGGAACATGCGCCGCTGCAAATCTCACTGCGACTGTACCTGACGGGTCATCTGTCACCGACTGGCAACGCCCAGATCTCCGCAAAGCCTCTTGGAGCCAGCAGCTCAGCAGCTCGGGTGAACGCGCATGGGGGACCAGCGGCAGTGCCCCCAGGCGCCGCAGCTCCGCATGGTAAACCTCGTGGCGACAAAGCACTGTGGTCCAGCACCCGCGCGTTGGCAAACTTATTGCCGCATTCTCTCTGTTTGTTGCAATGATCTCGAGTTTGAACAACGCGGAACTGTCTGCTTCTGTTACCCATGCCAGCAATTTGGCCTACCTAACCGTTACCTAGCGATACCTAACAAGCTGGTGCCGTGAAGCTATCTAAGCCGCCAGGAACGGCAAGACTTTGACCGCCGCTCGCATTTCTGTACTAGGTCCTATCGATTCCGATCGTTCATGAAGCCCAACATAATTACACATTTTGGATGATTCCATGCGGGGGCCAGATCATGATGTCCAACGGCGAGCATGTCCAAAACACTTGTAGCTATGGCGATTTTGCCGTTTTCTGTAACATACTGCGGAAGGATGTTGGAGGCGGTGACGCACTGTCACATGCGTTCATGCATTGTGCGAGCATCTGCCCCGGTTCGCCACAGCGGTTCACCACCTTATACAACGCCCTGCAAAAAGGATGTTTTATAATTTACATTTTTGGGACAAGATGCTGTCACAAGCATTCATGCCTTGTGCGAGCATGCCCTGTTTACAGCGCCTTTGCCTCTTTGCACAACATAATGCGGAAGGATAGGGTGATGACGATGATGGCGAAGACGATGATGGTCACTACAAAGATGATAATGATAATGGCTGGGTGCATCCAACTAAAAGATCAGCCAAATCAGCAGTGCTCAAAACATACGTACTACGAGCCACTACTGTGCGTTGCGGCCACCGCTGTGCAGATGAACTGCGTAAGCACATGCATCGGTGATTGGCCGCAACATGGTTGCACGTGGTAGATCCTTAGATACCTCAGAACACATCAGGAACATTGATGAACCAGGTGCTGCGCATTCATTAAGGCGAATGACTCATGACATTCAGTTTCAATCATGTTCAGACATGCCCCCCACCAGAACTTTTGTTCCACAGCCACAGGAGGAGGACTCCCAAGCAGAACTTTGCTATGTTTTGAGGCCCGAGCCAGAGGCAGTCCCTGTGGCCCACGTTGCTGCCGCATCCATTCATTACTTTCATGGGTGGGCTGGGCCGTAGCAGAACTCTCTCTCTTCCTTGTATCCTTCTTTCCGTCGGGTCAAGCTCCGAGCACGTGGGACCCGGTCAAGGGCTGCACCCTTTCTTGTTTTGAGAAAAGGAGCTTTGGGATCGTGAAAGGATACGTTTCATTCTCACACTGTCGCGAACCCCCGCCCTGAGCGTTATCCCACATCCAGGCCTCGTCCCCGTGCCATTTAAGCCTATGTCCTACGTACCTGCGACAACCGTGCTCCGTGTTTCGTGCTCTCGCTCCCTCTCTCTGTCTCTTTCTCTAGCTTTCTCACTCTCTCTCTCTCTTGTTTTCTCTCTCTGTCTCTCTCTAGTTTTTCCGCGTTAGAGGCAAAGGCAGCGTTCAGGCCTGTACCTCGTGCGGTCCGCACACCCGCGGCTCTCGGCGGTGGAAAAGTCTTCCAGGAGGGCTCGGCTGTAGGTGACGAAAGAAAATCCCCCGAGCTGCATCATGTTACTTCAAAGCAATTGAACAAACAGTTTCAGTACAACCATCAAGTAAGTCATTGTGCCAGCATTGGGATAAAGTCGCAAGGTTTGGGTGGTGGCAAAGTTGGTACACTGGGATAACGTACCACCACATGCTAAAGCAAACCCTTAATCACCTTAATCGCTGAAAAAGCATGACAAGCATTGCCAACGCTCCCCCAGTTACCTCAGGTACCCTCCACCTAATCCTCCTCCTTGCAGTCCAAATGTTTGGAGACACCTTGTTTTTGCGTTCGTTTGCCACCCCCTTGTCCGGCTTCCCTTCATTTTACCTGATTTGTCGGCCTCCCCCCCCCCTCAGGCCCCTCCCCCTGTGCCTATACACCCACAAGGAATACTCCTTGTTAGGAGGTGTATGACCAGTTATTCCCTAAGGATCAAAGGGCAGCGCCCTGCACACGGACAGTAGTTGTTTTGTCTTGCTACGCAAGGAGAGCTTGTCTTGTCTCAATATGGTAAAACCACTGTGAGCCAATGGGCAGCGGAATGTATATGTATGAGCATGCAGCCATTGCTGTAGGTACCTGTTAGAGCTACCCCTTTAGAGGTTTATGGTTTCAAACAGACACTAATTTTCTTTTACCGGAAGCATGGCCGCACATTCACACATATACTATTATGCCCACTGTCACAGTTGCGGAGTCTGGACTCATGATGAAAACAGCATATTATTTAAGCTAGGTATAGCACTGAAGTACACTGCTGAGGACACTCCTTTTGCACACACTCATGCATGTTGGTCAGAGAGATCGTCTGTACAAGATCATGTCTGGTGATATTTTCTACATCGAATTATGCAGCCCTTCACTTTGCTCTTGTTAGAGCTTTGTGAGTCACTGTTGTGAAACTCCGAGATTTTCCTTATCTCAGATTTGGATCCAGGTTTGGATCATAGGCTCGAGCGTAGACGTTCGGATGTGGCTCATCCGGGTCTGAGTGATCTTCTTCGGAACTTGAATAAATTCCGAGTAGTCTGTTCTCAGCCCTGGTGAAGGCGGCGTCTGCAGTATCATATCCATGGTTGGATGTTGTCGCCTTTGGCTCGGCCTTTGGCGCAGCTTGTGAGCTGACTGGAGTTGCCTTGGCTTTAGCCGGTTGTGGCTGCTTAGCCTTTGCCCGTTCAGCCCTTCTTCTTTCAAGCTGTCCGTCTGAGGACGCCCATGATCTTTCACTTTCATCTCCTGAAGGAGATAAGGCGTGGGCATAAAGGCTATTCCAGTACTGTGCTGCAGAAGGAGTTAGGACTTCTTCATTGTCAGATTCTGACTGGTCTTCCTCAGAGCTTTGGTCGTCAAAGAGTGTCTCGAGGACATTTTTGAGATTGTTATTTCTTCGCTCTATCTCTAGTGAGGAATGGACCAATTGGTTAAAGACTGTCCTTGAGTCCTTCAGTGCTGTTAGAAGGATTTCCACTCTGGATAGAGTATCTTGGATGGTGTCAAGATGTTCCTTCCTTTCCTCCTTGTCTCTCTGGATAGAGCTTCGCAATGATTGTGCGATTCTGAGGAGGTCTGTGTATTTCGCAAGAGGCATAGTTACCGTTTGATTGTCATGTATGACAGTTGTTTCGTCGCCGCTTAAGTTCCTGAATAGGACTTCCACGACTGGTAGAAACTCCGTGCTCCACGGTTCCTCTTCATCATATGTTTCTACGTGCTGTAGCACGCGTTGTGTAAACTGATCGGCTGCTTCTACCGTTGCATCGATAGAGCTGACGTGTCTTGCTGCCATGTTTCGGCACGTAATGTTAATTGCCTGGCCTTGATTGGCTTCGTTAAGTGCAGCGTCTGCATAGGTGCAGAGTCCACTGTTGTGGGCTTCTCTGGCTGCCTTTCGTTGAATGCGCCGATTTTGACCTCCTCTTCTGGTAGGACCTTTTGGTCTCGGAGGATCTGAAGGTACTGTTCCTTTCGCCTTTGGCGGAGGACTCTTAGGTGGAGGTGACATGTTTGCCTTGTTAGGCACTGGTGGCATTGCCTTGGGCGCTGACGACGATGCGGCACTTGAGAGTGCAGATGTACCTTTGGCTTTTGCCGAGGATCCCTTGGGGATCGATGTATAGGTAATCTGCATGGCTTCTTCGGCCATTTGTGCATGCAATGCATCTTTGAATAATTGCGTCATATGAGGAGTGGTACTTGCATCATCGTAGGTCTGGAAGCGCTCAATGTCTCTTTCGGTGCCACGTGGACGTGTATCACCTCTTTGAAAAGGATCGTTCCTGCGAATCTCCGCAACTTGTACTGCATGGAGGCAGTTTTTGCACAGCACCTTCCTGCAAACATCTCTTGCTTGCTTGAGCTGGTAACAGCTGTCTGAGAGATGGTAGACTTCGCTTCGGGAAGTATGCCAGATAGGTCGCAGATCAGTTGTTTCTCCGGAATTGACCCTGTTGGGTCCTAAAGGTTCACGCGTCTGCGGTTCATCCTCGGGTTCGAGGAATGGAACTCTTTGGTTCGCTGCTGCTTTTGATTTTGGTTGTTGGCGCTCCATACATCTGATAGGAGGCCTGGTAATCTGCTTCCACATCCAGTGTAAGCCCATTAGCAGCAGAAACACATTCCACGCGATGCTGAAGACGGAGAAGTCCTGCTCACTGGTTAGTGAGTTTGGAAGTGAAGTTTCATCAGTCTTGATAGACTCTGCGTTCGCTCCACCTTGGTTGCGGTGTCCGAACCAGCCCGACAACCCCGCTGCTGTAGCAGCTGTTCTGAGTGCCTTGCCGCTCGGAGCAGACGGTGGACGCGATGCCTTCCTTCTTCTCCTCCGGCTGGAGGATTCGTCCTCTTGTTCCTCTTCATCTCTCTGAGCAGACATCAAGTTTGATGTTTCTCTTTCGTGTTCTTCGATGTCACTTTTTGTTGGTGACGGTTCCTCTTCTAGTCCATCCAGCTCTTCCAAAGACATGTTGAGCTTGTCAACAATATTGGTTCTTTGAGGCCTGGACCTTGATCTTGGTAGATCTTGTTGTGAAGAGGACGATGATTCCTGGTTCCTTCTTGGAGGAGGACCTTCAGGCTCGCTGGGACGTTCAGGCTGTGGCCATTCCCAGAATCTTCCGTATCTGTGATGGCTACCTGATGGTTGCGATCTGTCGTACCAGCTGTTGCCGGATGAGTA